AACGAATGCCATCTAAAGAATAGTTTGAAATGGAATTTTCAGAAATTGATATGAATACAGTTGATGATTGATATCGGACAAAACTCAAGTTTTGAACTGTTTATTCGCTGAATTTAATGGCGTTTTATCTTTACCATAGTTGACTTAATTATTACTAAGTAAAATGATATCACATATTGAAAATGTGCTTAAAAATTCAATCGAAAATTGTTATTTTGCTGGCTAAGGTCTTCAAAAACAAGGAAGTGCCTTGATAACCTTCATATTCATACCTACTAGAATAGAAAACCGAAAAACCCGCCATAATTCAAATTTGAATGTTACTGTTACAAATAAATAAAGTTAAGATGATAAAAGTTGAAATTATTGATAAGATTAAACTTCAATTCTTTTGAGGGTAAATGTCAACTTGTCCTCTGGCTCAACAAGTGTCAAGTGTTTTTTATGGTTGGTTTGAATAGTTATCAGTCAGTCTTTGTTAGTAGGGTAAAAGTCAACGTTTAGTTCACTATTGATCGAGAATAGTATAATAGGTGTCACATTTTCCACCACTTCATCATTATTTACTCCGTAAATTTACAAGGCTTTTCTCTTTAATAACTTTCTTTTCTTTGAATCCTTCTTTCTCTCTCTCTCTCTCTCTCTCTTTGACATTTGTCTATTTTTTTCATTGTCTTTCTCTTTACGTTTATATTTCTCTTGACTCTTTCGTTACCATTGATTTTCTTTTTCTCTTTGTAATTAATCTTTTGATTTGTAGTCTCCTCTCGATGTCGTTTTCGGGTCATAGATGTCACAATGCTTTTAGTGTATCGGCATAAGACTCACCTTCTTGTTTTTCAGAATCTGAAGTTTCTTCTTCAATATCATCCTGAGTAATCTCAATGTAATTTCGAAACCTTGATCTTCTTTTTTTCCACAGCAAACTTGATTATCAAAGAATTGAATGTTAATAAAAATTCAGATAAATAACAACCAACCAAGTTAGCCAATCTCAACAAGGTAACTTTAAAATGACTACATAACTCGCTCTTCGGGAAATGACCTCAATGACCTTGCAATTAGTTGGGACAAGTACTTCAATTCTAATCAGTCCTCTGGTCAAGTTTGGCATTGTGACTTTTAGTTCTTGAAATATTGAGCGAAGTAGCAGTAGTGGATAAAAAGTCGATTTTTCGATTTTTATTAAATAAAATTTGAATATCTTATGACTTATCATTCAGCTTATTTAGCTAATTTAACTATTGAAACTATTGAAACTGGTAATTAGATTAGATTAAAAATCAATCTACAATCTATTAATACTTATCAGTAAGGACACTTGATATGAACAGAATTTAACAACAGTCTAATATTTTACTATTCTAAAATTTGAAATTGAATTTAAAAAGCGTTTGAATTTCATCAGCCATCAATTAATGGCCATAATAACGATTAATAGTCATGAATTAGTTGTGAATGAAATAATTTCAGTCAACATTAGAATCAACCTCGAAAACAATTAATAACTATATTTCCATTAGCTTTCCCCTTTAACAACAGTGATGACAACTATCAAGACAAACCAGGGTAATAATATAAGGTTATCATCATTATCATGGTTCTTATGATTCTCATAATTATCTGTCTTGGTAGATAGATGACTCATCAAGAATTGAAAAGAAAAGTTCTAACGATTTCAATGTTATCGAGAAATTTTCTGATAGTAAAAAAGGATTGGTGCAATTGGAACCATGTTGATGATGATGAGTTTCAACAATTAATCTGATTGTTGATTCAACTGATTGTATTATTACAAAAAGCATAAGATGAATGAAAATTTGTAAACGAGTTTAAAATGACCTGAAAATTTACAATCAACGGTAACTTGTTAACTAATTTTATCTTGTTAGTTAACTATTGATCCATCATAAACAAGTAAAGACTCATAATCAGCTTAATCATCAACAACAAGTTTAACTTTATCAACATGAAAATTTTCATTCACAAAATTTCAATTTACTCACTTCATTCATGATATTTAGCTGCATCAATGAGTCATAGATTATTATGATATGAGGTGTAGTCTACAATATAATAAGAAAACAATCTTATCAAAGCAATTAAGGCGCAGTTAAGAATCAACATAACAATTAACATTCGCATTTTCATCTAACCAATATTGAACCAACATATTAAACTACAAAATAAATCTCAATCTTATTTTGATAACAATTAGCTCATCTTAATCAACTTTAATTCATTAACCATACAATCAATTTATTATTAACATTAATATCATCATTAGAAATCATTTAATCAATAACTTGATGAGTTCTAACACAATCATAATTATAACCATTATAATTCAATGTAAAGGTTTAAATTGTTAGTTAGTTAATTCCTGTGAGGTAACACACACTTAGTTAATTATTATTTACAATTAACTTTATTGTTTATGTATTTATTTTATCATTATTATGATTGTTTATATATATATATTTTTTTTAATTAACTTTTCACACAAATTGTTTGTTTTATTTTCATCTAACTAAATCATAACCTGGAAATATTAGTTGATTGTAAATTGTTTCTGATGATTTATCTTTACCTCAACAATTGGGTTTGTTAGTTGAGATTTAGCTTGAGATTGTTATATCTTCATGATTTACTGTTGGATTAATTTAATTGAAAATTTATCTCTTAATTGAATTTCTCAGGTAATTAAACTTAATTAACCAACTGACTAAATCTAATAAAGGATAAGAATAATGTCCAAATTTACTATGATAATACAAGTGATGATTTAAGCATTAATTCAGTTGATTATCAAGTGATTCCATCTCATCAATTATAAATCGACTTTATAATAACAAGGACAAATGATATGGACACTTAATCAACAGTGAATATCAGTCTATCGGGTGTTTAGTAAATCCATCACTGAATCAATATTCCGTCAACTTGAAAGTAACTTTTTGACAAGAGGACCATTGAAAATGGTGGAATACAAATTATTATATTGAATAATAGTGCGCATTTATATAATTTAGCCAACGAAAAACTGTCTCATCACCTACGTTCATTACCATGATTAAGCTTGAAAGTTAATTTACTTATTCAATTGCTTGAGAATTACGTTGATTGTCAATCAGATCTGTCATCATCATCAACTTTTCGTTCAATTTATATTCAACTCAAAGGAATCATCGTCAATCTCATCATCAGTTGGTTGTCATCTTTTTATAGTAATGAGATCACAACGATTATATTTGATTGTTTAATTCAATTGTAATCATTTTTTAATCCTACGCATTCAAATTGAGTTAAAAAAAAACAATAACATAAACATTAACTTAATAATTGACATAAACTTGATGACCTTTACCTTCAACATTTTTTTCAGTCACAAGTTGATGATTTTAAGGTGCGTCTCTATACTTATTAACATGAAATCAAATTAATTAACAATTATCGACTCTAAATTGTCTGTTGTTTGGATCTACAAACAGTTATATTAATTTCAACAAGGAGATGCGATCAACATGCTCAATGAACATTGATCCTTTTACAGCCATCGACATTGAGTTTGTGAGGATTCGTTGATCATTTGCGATGGTCATTTTATCAATTACAATTAAAATTATTGTTCGAGATAAATTCAAAATAAAGATGAAATTATGTGTTTTTATATCGGAAAAAAAATCAGATATCAAAGGAGGACCATGGAAAAGAATAGGGAAATTGACCATCGCACTTTTAGTAATTCACTGAAGTTCTGTTTAGTATAAAATTTTCTGAAAAGTTATTGACAATTTAGTGATAGAACACTACTTTTGTATTAAATGAAATGGAAAAAATCAATTCTAATCAATGGTTGAAAAGTTATTCCATAGTGATGACCCCTTGATTTTAAATGATCGAAATCAATAATTCAACACTCCTTTACCTCTAGGATTCAGGTGTGGCTTTATGGTGTATCAGGTTGAGATGAGGATCAAGATGATGAGGAAGACGGTGATTGAGTCAAGGATGATGAAGGATAAAGTCTTCAGCTGAAACAATTAAGTGGCACAGGAAAAAATTAAATTAACTTGTTAAGCTTGGGATTTTTTGTTTGTTTCCAAAACTTTCATTCAATTTTAATTATGATTACGACTCAATCGCAATTAACTTGCTAATCATTGAATTAGGATTTTCGCTTTGTTTACTATTTAATTGTGGGAGGAAAATGGCAACTGATCAACAAGGAGTGGTTTCTACCTGGAAGAGAATGAAATTTCCGTTTTTGAGAAAAAAAATTTCTTCTTCTTTACTTCATCTTAATTGATTTACAACAATCGATTTTGATCTGAAATTTACCTCTTCCGATGGTTACAATAGACTAATTGTTGACGTTAAAAGTACGAATGAAATTACCATTGAATTGATTTGGTTAACATGAAACGATTTGTTAATCATTTCAATTGTTATTAATTAGATAATGAATACATCAAATTGTTGATTTTATTGATTGAAAAGTTACATTCAATGGTGAAAGTGTGTTAATTCAATTTTCATGGTTTCCATTCAAACTATTAATTGATAATCAATCTAAAGATTTTGATTGTTGTTTAATTGTGTTCGGTTTTTTTCCCGAATCAAATTAAATCTATAGAAAAGTAAAATTTATTTTCTATAATATTTTTAATTCCTTATGATTAGTTGATCGTTGTAATTATTATTATTATTGTTTACTGATTATTAACTCAAATTGTTGTTGTTGTTGTTAAACTTTCACTTGTTTTAATTTCCTTCCAAGGTTAAATTGTTGATTAACTGATTATTTTTCATTTAAATTAGCGTAGGAATCATGTTAGTTAGCAATTAATTTAACTCGTTCCCAAATCAGATCAACCTACTCATTGTTTGTGATGATTTTAATTGGTGATTATTAGCAACAAACTTAAATTGTTGGGTTGATAAGGAAACAAAAAATTAAAATCTATAATAAAGTAATCAAATCAATATCATTTTTAATTGTTACGATTAAAATTCGTAGTTTTTAATAATAATTTTAACAAATGAGTTGAGAATGATAATGAATCTTAATTGTTGTAGTGAGAGTTAATTGTAATACTTTTGATGATATGATTGTTGATGAACACATTAAATTGTTTAACATCTCACTTTTGATTAAGTTGATGATTATAAAAAAAAGGGGTTGATATTATTACATATTAAAAAATAATCAATAATTGATACAAAATAATATTGATTGATGTATTAGAGGCAATTGTGATTAACAATTTGAGCTTATTATTGTGATAAATGAAGTTAAATTAAGCTCTTAATTTATGAGATATTAAATTGCTGATGATTGATTAAAAGGCGATCAAGTATTTTGAGTACTGGTGAGTTGATGCTGATTGAGATCGTTAATTGTTAATTGTTGAATCCGTTGATTGTTTAAACATATATGATGACTTTTGTTTATAATTTTGTGATATGATTTAATTGGGGAAACAGGAACTAATTGTAATCATATATAATAGTTAATGATTAACTGATTGTTTCGATCTCATAATAACAACTCACCAGATACTTGATTTGAATTATTATCAAAATGAAATTGAATGATTTACTGATGATGATTACATGATAGAAACTTTGATTAATAATATAAAATAATGTAATTAACAAACAGTGTAAGTTAATCATATAATCAAAATTGTTTAAGGTCAGTTGTGGTTATCACTTGATTTGAATGAAATTAAATTAGCCCTGGTTGGTCAATTAATTAAGACACAATTTTTGAAAAACTTATTGCACAGAATTGATAATATTGATTCAGTTGTTCACCATGAAGTGATTAATGGATTTGAAAGGATTTCACTGTCGATTCTGAAATTATCAAATTCAGTTTCAGGAATCATATCGCCAGCAATTAATTTAAAATCATCAAAACTATCGGGAAGGTAAGAGTAACAATCAGCATCCAAAAGTGGTAATGAACTTTCAACAGGTAAATCATTGAAATCTGAGTCCATATAAATTGATAGATTGGTGTCTTGATTTGATTGGACTTGTTGATTGTTGCTGATTTGTGGTAAATTTGGCAATGAATTAAATAATTGTTGACAAGTTGGATTAATTGTTGAAATAATCGGTGATGTTGTTGTTGTTGGTGGTGTTGGTGGTGACGATGATATTGAATTGTGATTGTTAATTATGGAAGATGCTGAGATTTGAAATTGACTTTCATTCTGTTGATTGTTATTTGATGTACGCTCGAGTGGATAATTGTCAACATTTTTCCCGTCGTAATTAATTATATTGTTATTAGAACTATTGTTTAATAATTGTGAAAATATTTCACTTGGATTGATGATTAAATTGTCTTCAACTATTTGATTCTTTAAATTAACTGATTGTAAATCCAATGTTAGTGATGAGCACGAAGATGGTGATGATATTGAAGATGAATAAGAAGCTGATGATGAAGATGACGATGAACAGGATGATGATGATGATGATGATGAAAGTATAGATGAAGATGAAATTGATGACACTGATGAAACAGAGGGAGATGGTGATGATATATTTGAACAAATAAACGACTGATCAGCTGATGGTCCAATTGAGCAAATCATGTTACCATTGTTTGCAATTTCATTTGAATTTGAATTCTCTTCAATTAATTGTAACGGTTCAGTTTCCGACAAGAGCATAGTTAAAGCGGCGATATATTTGACCGCACGACGTAAGGTCGTAATTTTGGTCAGTTTAGAATTTTGATCTTCACCAACGTCAAAGTCATTCGCTAACTGAGGTACCGCTTTTTTCAATTCGACGAAGGCCTGATTCATTTCCTAAAGTTATCAAAGGATTAGAACGATTATAATCTTAAAGTACTGAATGGACAATCGAACGTTGAAAATATTCGTAAGTCAACTTACCTGCATTCGAGATCTTTCCCTGGCATTGGCATTTTTCCGACGATATTTACTAAGTGGTGGTGGTCGTTGTTTCGGTTTGGGCTCTTTTCGAGGATTTTTCCTCTTCTTCTCAACTTCGATTCTCTTTTGAATCGATTTTACTCTTAAATTGTATTTATCCAAAGCGGGAATCTTAAGGTCAACCTCACCTTCACCATTGGTTGGACTCTCCCCACACACATTAACATTTACATTGGTATTTTCAACCTCCATTGGACACTGGTCAGTTTTTGTTGCTGTTTGAGAAGGTAACACATTAGAGATGTTTGATTTTTTAGATGAAGATAAAACTAATCGTTTTGAAGACCTCATCTTGTCTGAATCAAGTTATACAAACAAGTGAATGGAGAGTAAGATGATGTTGATGATGATGAAAATGATGAGGAAAAGAGGAGGATTAAGATGATGAGGAAGATGAGGTAAAGGAGGGAGGGAAAAACCGGCAAGGCTACTTTTACATAAGAAGCAAAAAAATACGAAAAGTAATTGAATAATCATCATAATAGCTCCATCTATTGGGAATAATTAATTAATCAACAATCAAGGATGAAAGATAATTATGATTGTTAAACAATGAACACACACAATTTAATTCAATGTAAATTGTTCAGGTAAATTGATAAAATCTCTCTCTCTCTCTCTCTCTCTCTCTCCTCATCGTTGTTAATTGTAGGTGTGTTATTGTTGCTCTTGGTTAATTGTTAACTATTGATGTTATTTTCAAAGTCTCGTATGATTTAATCATTTTTAGTTGATTATTAGCTTTTTAAATGATTACATCCTACTAATCATCATCATCTCAACAGTTTTTGCTTAATTGTTTCCAGGTAAACATATTCATTAGTGTTTATTAAAATTTTGGTTGATAGTTTCATATGAATATCTGATTAAGTTTAAAATGGTTAATGGTTTCAAAATTTTTCTGTTAATTTTCATTTTCAACTCAATTAAATTTAATTTCCACTCCCTGGCTTACAATTAATTACATTTATAGTCTCAACCCTTGACAATCAAGAGATAATCATCAAATAATTAGATTAGATTTTCATCTTTACCTTGTTATTAGATTAATAAGTAATAGAATTAAAAAAATTGCTTCCAAAAAAAAAATCTTAATTCCGATTGATTCTTAATTGTTACCGGATTGAATCAAAAGATTATCAATCAAATAACTAAACAGTGATAATCATTTATCATAAAGTTGATTAACACTAAATTGATCCATTATGTTGATAGATAATTAAGGTGATGATTTTGATGATGGAAAATATTAATTGCTTTCATTTGCTGTTGATTATTATTTCGTAATACAAAGCAATTAATTTAACTGTTTCCAATCCAATTTCGCCCTTTATCATATCATTATTTACACTTTAAACTGTTAATTGTTTGGCTCCCTGGTGATCATAAATGAGTTGCGAAAAACAAAATTAATATAATAAACACGAGTTAAGATTTAATCACAATTAGAAAATCATTTGGGACTCTAATCAATTAAAACAATACTTATTACATATTGGTAAATGATAATCAAACTGGTTTTAATTTAATCACAAGTAGTTAATAGCCATTAATAAGTAGTAAGTAATGTTAGTTAAATAATCAAACAATCACTCGGAAGTCAATTTGCAAAACAATTGAAAATTACATAATTAACCTTGAAGTTTAGTTATTAGTTTTAAATTGTGCAAACAATTTAAAAAAATAAACAAACTCATTGAGCAAAAAAAAAATAAAGGTTTCGATGATAATATTTACTGAATTGATTTTCGGATATTCTATTGCAATTTGAAATTGGTTTGAAGGAAAGAGCAGCAATTAAGATCTTCAGATAACTAAGATGTGATATTAACGATGAAAGCAAGTTAATAATTATATTAATAAGAGTAAATGATAAATGATAATATTTGTAAACTTCGGGAATCCAGTGGATGGTTAAAAGTCAAGAGGTAATCATATGAAGATTTCCAGTGATGTTGATGATTACCATATGATTGTAAGTGTTTATATCTCTAGATAAACATAATCAAGTGAAGATCAACAAACAGAAATTAACATTTGACCTGGTCAATTGTTTTCAAGATCCAGTGTCCAGTTCTGAGAGGTGAATCCATTGAACTAGAAAAAGTATCATTCAGTTTCAATGAACAAATAACGATGAAAAAATGAAGATAAACAATGAAATGTAATTACAACCAAAGAAGATGATACAAATTAACCAAAATCAATGGCTAACAATCAATTGAAAAAGAAACAATTAAAACAAAACACAATCGATTCTGAGTAAACACTATGAGTGAATTTCAATGATTTCCCAATGAGAGATTATCTTACCTTTAAATCATTTCTTATGATTATTATTTTCCATTGATTTTATTTTTAGCCTGAGGCTATTTAAACTAATACTTCATTTGATTGTTACAATTTGGTTAAATTAGAATTGATTAGTTGATATAATAACTTGGGTGGCATGGTAATTAAAATGGTCACTTTAATTGTAACCACGATCATCAAATGTAATCAAAGAGGGAAACTGATACAAGGATCTTAATAGTCGATATCTTTATTGATGAACAATTAACTAAACAGAAATTATTTATTCGTGATTTAATTTTGATTGATAACATGATTGATAATCGTTGTTTTTTTGCTTCAGATAAGCAACTAATTCCAATAGAAGTTGATTTAATTAGATTACAATTTAAGTTCTACAGTAAAATTAATCGTGATTACTAAATAGATTCAGATCAATATCTGATATCTTTTTCCAATCACATGTTGGGTTTGATTTGTTTGTGGTCATCGATTTGTTTAATTGTTGCTTTCTGATGTTTAACTAATTGCGATTTTAGATATTTATTGGTAATCGTGCTTATCGATAATTAGCCTCAATTTCCTATTAGAGTTTCGTTCATTTCGTCTTGATATTTTATCTTATTCTTAAATTCTTGTTATACTCTTTTCTCCTCAATCTTAATTGTTTATTTCGTTACCATTGTGATGAAGATTTAGAATCGTTAATGGTCAATTTCTGTGCTGAAAATGATTCTCGTTTCGTTCAGTATTGTAATATTTTCCATAGGTTTAGCTTTTGTATTTAGATTTTACTCTCTTTCCCTTGTTCCATTGTGACTTTTCAATTTCGTCTTAGGCCTTGCGGGCAAATTACGTTTACGAGGCTTTCTCGTTATTACAGGTATTTAAAGTATAATGGTTACTCTATTTGACCATTGAAGCTTTGATTTTAGTCAAGGTGTTGGCCCAAAGTTTGACTCTTGTTCCTCTCTCATCAAAGTAATAGGAACCACTCCTGACAACGCCTTGATTTCAATCACCTTCATTTGCCTCTTTTGAAAACCCCAAAGAAAAAGGAAGGAAATTAAGACCGATCATCATTTCCATTTCCATCTTCATCATCAAAATTGGTTTTCTTTTAAATATCTACATTTAATTTGACCACAATTTAACCTTTAATTTGTTGAAAACATCACAATTTAATCTGATAACTAATCACATCTCTACTCTGCCTTTACAGTTTTATTGGTTTCTTAAAAAAGTGTGAACTTTACTGATAATATAATATCAATACTTGAGATTCAGTTATGTCTTTTTATCATGTATGTTATCAGATGAATATGTTACAAAAAATTTAAAAAATTTCGATAACATTAATAGTTGCTATTATTAGATAAACAACTAAGTAATGGCCAAATTTTTTTCGAGCTTACATTTTGCTTGATTGTTAAAAAACTTTAGATTTTTGATTAATAAATTGATGATTGCTAAGATATGGATAATTTTTGAGAACGGAGAGCCGTTGACAGAATAGATCGCATTGCTGGACTTGTCACATAATCAAAATTATTTCGACACCGAATTCTAAACTGACTTTTGATGGGCCAAAAGTCGATAAAGATTTCGCTTTGTTAACTTAATTGTAATCAAATTTTGTAATTGTGATAAAAACTATTTACCAAGACATTTAATGTGTTACAGTGCAATTCGGGACAAGCTCACTCATATTTATCTCTTAAATGAAACAATAGAAATATGGATAACATAATTGATTGTAAATCCAAGAGCTTCTGCTCCAATTGTACCCTAATCAAAATCAATGCGACAAAAGAAATTGTGGATCAGATCATCGATAAATTGGTGAGTTTTCTATATATAAAGGCTTCGTTTGGAAACAGAAAATATTAACAATTAATTTACTCAAACTACTAATACTTTTAACCAAGTTTCATTTCTAATATCAAAATGGTAAAACTTTTGGTAATCGTTTCTCTAATTTTCACCCTCTCAGGGCTGTTACTTCAGGTAAATCATATTGAATTTTTTTGCTATTTTCTAATCACAATCTGAATGATTCTGACTGATTTTTTTCCTTATTATTAATAATAGCTGAAGATGGGCCTGTTACTACTCCAATTCCGTTCCTCCTTTGGGCTGCTTCTGATCCTACTGAAGAAAACGAAGTAGAAAAAATTAACTTGAAGAAATTTGTCAAATTTACTGAAGCTCATCAGTAGAAATCGCCAAATTTCACGAAAACAATGACGCTGTTGGTGTTACACTTCTAATGGTCGGTAATGCAGAGGAATCAGGAACCACTGGAGTTGTTTGGCCTACAGTTTTAGCCAAGATCGCTTTAAAGAAAACAATCGGTTTGACTGAGAATAAGGAACATGGTGTTCCCTCTTTGGTTGCATGGGCCATGAGGAAAACTGGACCAGGAACCTCATACTCATCAGTTGGTCGAACTGATCTGATCATCTTTATCCTCGAACATAAGTCCAAGATCATTGAATATTTGAACAATGGAGATGTTGATGGTTTGATCAATTACATGGTTTCAACTTCAACTGAATCAGGAACCAAAGACGTCGATTGGAAAAAGTTATTAATTATCTTAAGGACGAAAGACAATTGTACCAATACCCTTGTGGCTTTTTGAACCTTCAACTTTGTGACAGAATTACACAGTAAAATCAGTTGATTGTATGGAAATGTTGATTCCTTTGATTCCCAACCAGAAAATTCAATAAATATTTAATTTCTATTCAAATACAATGTTCATATTTATCACTTATTGTATAAGTACGTTTCAGTATAAGGTTTCACTCAAATTAACTGTTCAAGTTAATCACGATTGACTCGGAAATCTGACCATAGAAACAATCGAGAAAATTCATCTCAATAATGAAAGATAATCGTCAAGTTACCAACGTGACCTCAAAACAATCTGTAACATTATATTAGATCCTAGATTATTATTGATCTTACAAGACTTAACTCGATTCAATTGTTAAAAGATTTAATTAAATCAATGTGAATGATTATTGTTGATTGATTGAAATTGTAATGATATTGTAATGATTATTATCTTTATGCTCTTACTAACTTTAATTACCTTGTTTATTTTGATTTGAATATCATGGGAATTAGCAAAACAGTAGATGAAATAGAATGATTGAACAGCAATGTAATACACAATCACATCTCAATAAAATCTTTTCTTTCTTTTTCCATTTCTTTTTCATATTTTTTCCTTTTCTTTCTCTCTTTCTTTCTTTTTGTTTTCTTTTCTCTTGGTTTTCAAATTAATTAAATTAATTAATCAATAAAATTTTGTTTTAATTATATTTTGTATTTTTTCCTCAGTTTTAAATTAATTTGATATATTCGTTACAGAATCTTTAAATTAAATCAAAAAAAAATTGTCAACTACAAGTCTTTAATAATCGCTTATACTGGAGACGTAGTATAAGCTTTCTTTTTCACCATGCTAATATTAATACACAACAGATTGTTTAATGAAGTAAAATCTAATTGATCAATTTTTGAAAATAGTTAATTAAATAACCTTATCAATTAATAAGATTATATTGAAATAATAAATTATTCAAAACAATAAAGAAAATCATTAAATTAACTTTTTAATTTCATCTAAAAAGAAAGGGAAAAAGAAAGAATAAAACGATAGTTGACTTTCGTGCCTATTGTATGAAACATAATTTCCTTTGGTTTGAAGTCTTTTCTTCTACATTGAATTAGTTAGTCATCAACACGAATGATATAAACGTTTATATGAAATTCAATCATTGAATTTTCAACCAATATCAAGAGTACGGTTGTTAATCACTTTGGACGGTAACAAGAAATGTGTATCAACAAGTGCAGTTTTAGCTCTAATCAAATCGACGGTGAAGGACATGAGGTAGAAGTTTATGAAACTAAAGTAGTTTAATCATAAAAACCACCGTGGGCGTCCAACGTTTAGCTAGAAAAAATCATGAATGATTGAGGTATTGACCGTGCTAATGGCGAGCGTTTTGTTGAACTTCCAACGATCGCGTATCGGATACTATCAAAGAATTGATCACTGAAGAGTAAACTTGTCGGTTAATAAATCGAGGGGTGGAGATTCATTTGCTTACGCCAGGTCGGTTACCGTGTTGATCAAGTTAATGACCAACCAACTTCTTTCGCTGGATCCCCTGACGATCCAACCATAAACACATAAAATTTAGAGAATGTGGGACATTAAACGATATTAAAATCACTAAATTATCAGAATAATTATATAAATAATAAATCTGACTGAAACAAATCAGTTGAGTAAAAGTTTAATCAGTATCGTTAATGGAAATTTAGGTTCACTGGTAAATAGCTCTCAAAATATCTACAGATTGACAGAATATATTAATGAAATCTAAACTGTAATCTACACTGTGACATATCGAAACAACATTCATAAATATCTTAAAATTAGAATTTTCATCATTGGCGCTGTTTTTTTGAGTAACTAGATTTTCACTTCAACCCCTCTAACAAATTTCAGTATTTTCTTTTTATGGGCTATTCGAAAAATCGAATTCTTGCAACTTTACATGATTGAAAATACTACTCCGTTCTTTACTGGCTTACATTGAATGTTTATTTAATTTAGATTTTGAACAAAATTATAAAAGAACAACAATAAGAGTAGTATTATGATTTTGGTACCAAAGTAAAACTTTTTATTTAAAAAAAATGAGAAAGGAAACACATAATGAAGCTCTTGTTGAAACAATTTGTATTGTTGTAATTGAATAAAAAAGTTTTTACCTTTAATTTGAATAATTCAAAGTTGATTAAATCTTGATTAAACATTCATTTGGTAAAACAAAACAAATTCAATTTTAAGTTTCAATGAAGGAAAAGGAAACAGTATATGAACTAAATACAACAAAATTAAAAGTCAAATAGATTTTTAATTGAGATGAAAATTCAATGATTGAATTGCTGTATAAACGTTTATATCATTCGTGTTGATGACTAACTAATTCCCACTTGATATTCAAATCAAAATAAACAAGGTAATTAAAGTAAGTAAGAGCATAAAGATAATAATTAAGGTAAATATTTAGAATATGAGCTCAATGTTAGTTCAATTGTCGATCAAACTTCCGAATAAAATGATATAAAAAGTATCAATTCTTAAACGAACCATCGTTAGTTTCATTCGTTTTGTGTTCAAAGTGATATCAATCAACGTTTTATTACGGTGTCTAAGTATAATAATCTCATCATAAGTATTCCATTTATTTAGTTATACACTATGAATTTCAATCTAATCCAAGTTCTGATAATCACGCTTGTTACACTTCTCTATACAACCATGGGACTTGTGGTGGAAAAGAGAGACGGTTAAAGCTGTTGTCGGTACTGGTCCCTGAACTATGGAAGATCTCCGTTGACGTTGCCGAGTGATCTAACGAAGTGATCAACAATATGGCCAATGCAGGAGTGACATCTAATTAATAAATTGAATCCATTAACATTCTGTCCTTTCTCTATCCCTATCGGTCAAATAAACAATCCTCCAACACATCATTTATCTGTCAATTTCGAATTGATTTAAAACTAATATGATAACATTAAAATAATCCGTTCATTCAACATTATTTCAAGTCTCACATTTTCGTCTGATTTCACCCACGATCCGAGAAGTTTCCTCTAGTTCTGATAAGTTTTGTCAACAAATGGTGATGTTGAATGCTGTATTGCCGTGTTAATCTAATCATTATTCAAAATCTTTTGTGAGAAGAAGATGAGAGTTACCATCATGGTCTCTACTAAGGTTAAAATCATCGATACAATTTTCGCATAGATCGAGAAGAGACAATTCAAATACGTGTCTTCCAAAAGTCCAGATATTCAGCTATTTTCGTCACTTTTCTCGGTAACTATGAGTCCTAAAGATTTGAATAGTGTGAATTTAACCGATACTGCATTTTACATTCGAAGATCATAGGCCATTTTAGGTCAATGATGAAAGAGCGCGTTTAAATGTCATTGTTTTGAATGTGAATCTCAAAATAATTGGTTGACGGGCAAAAATATGATTAAATTATTTTATTTATTAGGTTTTATTCGTTTCATACCATCACTGATTACAGTTCATGGTTTTTATCTTTTTCATCAATCGTCTAGTAACTATCGTTTGGATCATCTGGTTTTGAAACAATCTTTGTAATCTTGACTTTTCCTCCTTTTCCTTTCTTTTCTTTTCTTTTTCATCTTTCTTTTATATCGATATATATCGATATTTCGTCGATCGATATGACGATTATACTCAAATCGAACATTTCTAATTTAAACAACATTTTTCAAATCTAAGCAATTATTTCGAATCATGTTTCTAAACTATACCCGTTGAAATATGGGATATATCACATTTTATTACTTTCGTAATATATGTGATATGAAAAGTTATATCACAAAGGACGACAACAAAAATTAACAATTGGCTATTTAAAAGCAGTTAACAAGTTAAATCACTTTTTAGTTGATCAAATGTAATCAAACATCAAAGTTAATCAAGTTAGTCTTAATATTCAGTTCAATTTAATTCAAATTTTCTCAAGCAACACAGGTAAGAAACATACGGGGCACGACAACAGTTTAGTAATTGCGAAGAAAAGTAATTTAAAATCAGAATAACCACGAAAGCTTGAAAATACTACTTTCGTTCTTTACTGGTCATAACTTGGAATGTTTATTTAATTTAGATTTCCAAATAAAATTATAAAAAGAACAACAATAAGAGCAGTATTATGATTTTGGTACTCAAAGTAAAACTTTTATTTAAAAAAATGAGGAAAAGGAAACACACAATGAAGCCTCTTGTTGAAACAATTTGTATTGTTGTAATTGAATAAAAGTTTTTATCTTTAATTTGAATACCCGAAAAGTTGATTAAATCTGATTAAACATTCATTTGGTAAAACAAAACAAATTCAATTTTAAGTTTCAATGAAGGAAAAGGAAACAGTATATGAACTAAATACAATGTACCAAAAGTCAAATAGATTTTTTAATTGAGATGAAAATTCAATGATTGAATTGCTGTATAAACGTTTATATCATTCGTGTTGATGACTAACTAATTCCCACTTGATATTCAAATCAAAATAAACAAGGTAATTAAAGTTAGTAAGAGCATAAAGATAATAATCATTACAATATCATTACAATTTCAATCAATCAACAATAATCATTCACATTGATTTAATTAAATCTTTTAACAATTGAATCGAGTTAAGTCTTGTAAGATCAATAATAATCTAGGATCTAATATAATGTTACAGATTGTTTTGAGGTCACGTTGGTAACTTGACGATTATCTTTCATTATTGAGTTATAACTCAATAGAAAAATCTAAATGCTTGTATTAATATATATCTAATAATGTATCTCAATTATATTATCTAAAAAACATTTTGGATGTCAAATCTAACAGATAAATTATTAAGGTGTGATAATTTTAAAACAAAAACAAACTAGTTAATTAAACATAATTGATGGCTTATTAACTTTGATCATCTATTAAGATCACATTAAGAAATTGGGAGTTTGTAAACAAGAGTACAAAGTTAATTCACTTTTTAGTTATTAACATTTACACTTCATTGAAAACTTTTTTTTTATCTTTAATCAAGTTAAATTGGCTTTTTGAGCCAAAAATTAATATCATTCAATTAGATCAACAATTAAGCGACCAATTAAACGATTTCTAAACTGTATAATTGATATTGTAGTTAAACCTTGTAATAGATCATAAGGAATCCTGGATTATTGAAACGGAAAAATTTTCTCTTGATTGTTTATCTTAATTCTTGATGTTAAAACATAGAATCAATTTAATTCAGTTTCTCATTACAAATTAAACAATCTTTCAATTAACTTGAATACCTAACTAATTACTTCAATCAATCAGTTGTTTCATTTTGAAACTTTTTTTAACGATTTGTTGAAGAGAAACTTTAACAATTTTTATTGTTCAACCAGATTGATTTACTAATCAATTCACGTTTGACCCTTTAATTATTACATCAATGTGATGGAAAAGTTTTCTTAATTGTGGGAAAGCAATTAAAACAACAATCAACATGATCATTTAAAGTCAATTGGATGGACAATTAAAGGTTGGTTTGTTTATCTAATGTTTTCTTTTTGTGTCCAATGTCATTCATTATTTATAACCGATCCTTGATCATTATTTTTATTAACTAATTCTCAATCACACTGATTAGTTTACTTGATTAGCAGTAGAAATATCAAAAAGATTTTGTTACTTTTTGATTGATTGACAGGAACACAAGGAATCAAAAGGTGAAACTCATTGAATGTCTATGGTCAGAGAGTAAGAATACCTCTCAGATTTTCCGAAATAATCGATTGAATAGCAAAAAATATTATCGTATTATTTTATTTACTAGAATATTTATCATACTAAAAGTGATCACAATTCGTTCGTTACAAATTTTACATGAACCACAAAATTGCTCTTGAAATTATGAATAGGAGTCTTTCACTCTTGAAGTGTTTCGCGATTTTTGCCACGACTTGGCACGTATTATCTCGTCCTCGGACAATTGAACTATTGAAACAGTTGTAAGAATGGAAACTAGATAAATTAGAACGACAAGAAAAAGGTTGAAATTCATGATAATGAGATAAACTTGATTCTACTTTTGAAAACAAAACAAATTAAACTGATAGTGATTCCCCTCTAACCTCATCCTTTTTACATCATTTTTTTCATGGTTAAATATCAATGACTAATTCTCAATACTAGTATTAATTTAGCTCAGCTAATTAGGTGATATTTGTTATTAATCATCTTCATTTACTCAGGTATTTACTTTGAGTATTTGATCGTCAGGTATCTATTAATAGTTCATTTGATTATTGGTTCTTACATCTCATTAATCAATAGATTTGGTGAATGTTGGTTATGTAAATGGCTTTTTGGAGTAAATTATAAATTAGTATTCTGTATTACTTTTAGCACCAAAAATACAATTAGCACCGCATTCATTTAATAATAGTCAAGTAAATGTATCTAGAACTGTCCAATCAAATTTCTTTGAATGTAAACAAAATTAAGCAAAGACAATTACAACTTGACTTTCACAGTCTCCACCTAGTGGATTAGTACCATTAAGCTTGGATTAGCTTAAGGATTAGTTCATCAAGAGATTAACCCTTTTAGTTATGTAGACAGCGCTATTTTTTGCTCTAAGTGTAGCAACCTCTGTAGTCAAAAAATTAATCATCTTTCTGATTAAAATGAACTTGGCTTGTGAAAAATAAACATGAACAATCAGCTTACCAAACAATTCAGAAAAGTGAAGAGAAAAATAAATGATTTAATTATCACTTTCACCTAAAAATGGGTTCAATTTGTTTCCATGTTTATTCAGATTTTGGATGATGAGGTGATGTGGCGTTGAAATGATTAATCATCGTTGATTAACTGATTCCCAATACTTTTGCTCTGAGCTATAAAAAAGATGAGTTTCTAATTGAATTTGTATCAGTTCCATTCAACTTGATTCTCATCGATAACAATCAAAGTTTCTTGTTTAGCTTTGTAAAAGTGATAAAATTAACTAATATCATCATGAATTTCAACTTTGTGAAAGTCCTTGCTCTTCTCATAACTCTCCTTGGAGTTATGTTAACCATTGTCTCGGCAAAGTCTGATCAAGACGGCCTCTCAAAACAATTATTTGAAGGTACACAATCTTTTTCACATCGACTATTATCCAAGATTTAGCACGATCATACAAGCGGTCGAGCTCGACATCGGTGCCAATTCTGGGCTACAGGAGCTTCATTGAAGCAAAGAAAACAACAGAGAGATGATTAAATATTATCTCGAACTTCCATTTTATCGGCTGAGGAAGCGATTCCCTCTTTTCCGAAAGGAAGAAAGAAAAAGCAATTTGTTTTTTTCGATTAAGGTTTGGATTAGGACCAAAGAGATTAATAAGTTTTCTTACCCGCTTTGATTGAGACAATTTGAAGAAAAAAACTAAGAATTGTTAATAAATTAAAACTAAGGAACAGAACTACTTCGTTAGGCATTTTTATTTGAAGGTTAAAATCACAAAATCAATGGTTGATTAAATTCAATTCACGAAAAATACAAATCAACATTCACTTTTTTTCTTGATTTCTCTGCACCGTAAAATCTTACAATTGTTGGTATTAATTATTATTGGTTGAATCTGAAAATAATAATGATTCCGAATCGCGAAATAATTGGTTAAGTAGAAAAAATATGATTAAATTATTTTGTTTTTTAGCTTATATTTTTTCATATATTATCAGTGATGATAATTCGTTTCTTGAAGTTTTTTATCTTTTCGCCACTTATGATTAACCATAGCTCTGGGAATGAGACGATTATCATTGCGAGTTTGCTTTATCCTGGGGACATATTTTGAAATAACCGATTTCAGGGTTGAAGACAGTTCCGCATGATTGTGATCTAACCCATCTTACATTTTGTTGAGCTGAAGCATATCCAATAATGAAAATTAGAATGATAGAAAGAAGATGGAAATTCATGGTGATTATAACGAAGAAGAAGAAAAAGTTTAAGAGATTATTAGTTTTACTTTTGAAAAAAACGAAATGAAACTGATGATAATCGTCATGAAATTGATCCTTTTTATATCATTTTGTTCGGAAGTTTAATCGACAATTGAACTAACATTGAGCTCATATTCTCAATATTTACCTTAAGTTTTATCTTTAAGCTTTTGCTAACTTTAATTACCTTGTTTATTTTGATTTGAATAATTGAATTGAATTGAGTGAAGATGATCGTTAGTAGATTCCTTCTCGATGTTGTCCAATGTCCATTCTATCCAGAAGAAGAACTGTAATCCAACTAAATTCTGCGTCTTAAAATTTTACAATTGTTGGTTTATCTTCTAACACAAAACCAACCGAATTAGGCATTAATTGGAAGACTCGATATAAACACTAAATTTAATGCCTTTAATTCACAGGCTCATTTTTTCATCAATTTGAATGAAATTCTCATTGAAAACCGGTAAGAATTTAGGCCTACCGATCGATATTAAGTTACCGATTTAATCGACGGCATTTTAATCAAGCACAATACGAAACATTTTATATTTTTGACTAAAAAATCAATTGATAAAACAAAATTGATAATTTGATAAACCAAAGTAATTGTTATCACCTTAATCAATTGTTAACTATTAATGTCTTTCATCAATCTACCAACAATCTACCAGAAACAATTTAACTAAAGGGCTTTTCCATTAACTAATTTTTTAACCAATAAACCAATAAACCAATTTGATTAATCTGAATTATGGTGAGTTTTTTAGATAAGATTATCTAATCATCACTACGATTAGATTACTTGTTGGTTATTTGAAAAGCACAGTGGAAGCTACGGCAAAAAGTTAATGGAAAAGGTAAAGCTCGGTTATTTTTCGCGATCAGCTGACAATTAACCAACCAGCTAATATTTTAACCAACATTCAACGAGTTTAATTCGGCTTCCCAGTTAATGGAAAAGCCCTTAATTCTCAATCACACTGATTAGTTTACTTGATTAGCAGTAGAAATATCAAAAAGATTTTGTTACTTTTTGATTGATTGACAGGAACCAAGGAATCAAAAGGTGAAACTCATTGAATTTCAATGGTCAGAGAGTAAGAATACCTCTCAGATTTTCCGAAATAATCGATTGAATAGCAAAAATATTATCGAATTATTTTATTTACTAGAATATTTATCATACACTAAAAGCGATCACAATTAGTTTATAACGTTCTTTTAGATGAACCATTTTGGGCATTTTTGTTACGAATTGGCGACGACCGTATACCCTCGTTATCGTCTTCCTCCTTGGAGCATTGATCTGTTGAAACAGTTGTAAGAATGGAAACTAGATAAATTAGAACGACAAGAAAAAGGTTGAAATTCATGATAATGAGATAAACTTGATTCTACTTTTGAAAACAAAACAAATTAAAGGGCTTTTCCATTAACTGAAAAACCGAATTAAACTCGGTGAATGTTGGTTAAAATATCAGCTGGTCGGTTAATTGTCAGCTGATTTCGAAAAATAACCGAGCTTTACCTTTTCCATTAACTTTTTGCCGTAGCTTCCACTGTGCATTTCAAATAACCAACAAGTAATCTAATCGTAGTGATGATTAGATAATCTTATCTAAAAAACTCACCATAATTCAGATTAATCAAATTGATTTAAAAAATTAGTTAATGGAAAAGCCCTTAAACTGATGGTGATTTCCCTGAACCTCATCCTTTTGTACATCATTTTCTTCATGGTTAAATATCAATGACTAATTCTCAATTCTAGTGTTAATTTAGCTCAGCTAATTGGGTGATATTTGTTATTAATCATCTTCATTTACTCAGGTATTTACTTTGAGTATTTGATGGTCTGGTATTTATTAACAGTTCGTTTGATTATCGGTTCTGTAAATGGCTTTTAGAAGTAAATTATTAGATGTATTAATTGATACATGTATTCTAATTTCATAAATTAAGAATAGTAAATTGGATTTGAATTAAAGGATATCTTTTATTTTTTGTTAGAGCTTTAAATTGTTGCCAGTTAATCAGGTTGATGATAATAACAATTGGAGATGTAATCATGATAAAAATAAAAATAATTTGAATTGAGACAGTTGAAACAATCGGAAATTAAATCGGAATTGGAAACAATCAAGAGATTAAATAGAATTGTGATATGAAACAATTACAATTATGATAGTTAACAATCAGAAAGAGATCAATAGGAAATTAAGGAATTCACAATCAATAATCAGAAGTAATGGAGGATAAGAGATGAATGGAAATTAACGGTTTTCTCAAATTAGTTAATTCAGTTCTTAGCAAGATGAGGTGATTTCTTGGCGACCACTGGTAATTTCTCGCCCATTAGATAATCAGGATTACGCTGGAAACAAAAAAGACAAGACAGACAGTTAAAATACATCGACAATCGATAATCAATCAATCAACGGTTTTACCTTTTTGGTGGCGTGAAACTTTTTAGCGACCACTTTGTGTCCTTCTTGCATTCGGTCGACCAATTCATCAAATTCCGAATCTGAAATTACATTGTTTTGTATCGATCGAGCCAAAGCGTCCAATTGATTTTCCTCCGTGTTACCTGAGCATTCAAACATGTGCTCACGGTCGCACATACACTTTTGTGATGATTGATAGTCACGGCTAAATGTCGCTGAGTTAACAAAAGTCTCCAAGCAACCATCATCAGCTGAACAATTGAGAAGGAGAAAATAGTACAATTAGTTGATTAGGGAGAAAAGAAAAATGAAATGAAATTGATTTACTTGTATAGCCGATTGGACATGGATTCGGAGGATCACAATACGCTGGTAAAATGGAATCTGATTTGATCACTTGGAAGTTTTCAACAGATCCATCGGGTTTTAACAATTGTCGACCTTCCCCTGCACCTCCTTGAACGTATTTTGGTCCGAAAAGTGATGAATGTTCAAGATATTCGGAGTCACGAAGTGAAGGTTCACTTCCTAATAGAATGTCATCAATACGAGTTTGGAATTTTGATCGAGGGATTTTACTTAAAGTTCCTTCATCAACAGGTAAGTTTAAACTTCCACCTCCTTGTTTCTAATCACAAATAGAGAAAAAGACAAAATTAGATCAATTGTAATCGAGAAAAAAAAGCAAAATTGTCAACAATTAACCAAAAAGAATCCAGTTAATTCTTACATCAAAATCTACTTCAAATGGATCATCTTTTATACTTGATCCATATCGGTTGAAAAGTTCTTGGAGTAAACCATCACCCAATTGGATTAATTTACCATAACCACAGGCGAAAGGGAGAAGAGCCAATGGAACAATTAAAAATCTGAATAACATTCTATCCACTTGAATTGGTGACAATTACAAAATCAATCAATTTAATGTTCGATAATCAAAAGCAAAATCCGAATTGAGACAAACCTGTGAATGGATAAACAAAGAAACCGTTAGAATTATGAATGAAATGTTCACAATTAGAAAACATTTGGAATTTAATTGACTCAATAAATGAACAGAGAACACAACTAATTAACAATTGAGAAAAGAAATTAATTTCCAAAATGGAGAATCAACAAAATCTATTAATAGAATTGAAAAAGGGGACGAAAAGCTTAGCAACAGAACAGAAAATCAAATGGTCAATGAGATGAAAAGATTATCAGAGAAAGAAAATTATTCCAATTTAAAATTAGAGAATCAAATCAACAATAGAGGAACATTAATCTCTTGATAGAAATTAATTGTTACAATTAATTAGAAAGAGAAAATTATTCTTACCTTAATTGTTAAGAGAATCAAAGAGTTGCCATATTGTAAACACGAAAATCGAAAATGAAACCCAAATGACTCAAAACGAATGCGTAACAATTTGGATCGATAATTTTTCTCGAATACAGAGTAGCCCAAATTCGAGTTGATTAAATGTTCTATTGAACATTTGGGAAGAATTTAAATTACACAATTAAAAAGATGACAAAGTGATATGTTATTTTATTGCTTCTCTTTTGTCAAATTGTCAAATTCAGTTAAAGAGATGAACAGAAATACAAAATCAAGACAATATCAATTGGTTTATATTATCGTTAATTGTTTGGGTCATGAGAATTGTACAAATTGTGATTAAGATGATTATCTTTTAGAAATTACATCAATTTAAAGAATTGTTAATTGTTTTGTATGTTCGTCAATGGCTTTTTCTCTGTTAGCTTTTCATGAATGGATTAGTTTGTTTAAAGGTTTGTTTTTTCTTGGGTTCGGAATTTTTTGTTAATTGTTACAATTTAAACCATGTTTATATGGTTTGAGTTTCACTTAATTAAATTCATAGGTGAATACAATGATTGATAATTGTCACAATTAGTTTTCTTGGATGAATTGTTATGGTTTCTCACAAATTGGTCAGTCTTTTTGGTCAGATCTTTGTTGTTGTTGTTGTTGTTGTTGGTTTATATCAGGAATGGACGTTTAAATTGTTTACAATTAAAATTAATCTTATCTATATAATAGATTTAAAGGATTTCAAACAAATTAAATTGTTATTTGTGAATTAAATAGTTGGGTAAGTAAATGTGCTCATCTTTGGGTGATAAAGATACAGTTAACTCATCAAAGTTAATCAAGTGCGTTTGATGTTAATTGACTGTGTAAATTGTGAACAATCAATAGAAATTTGCAATAATAATAATAATTAAAAGTAAATAAATGATTACATGCAAACGATTAAATAATTAGAAATAAATAAATTTAAAGTGGACAGAAAAATCGGAAACATGGAAATCATAACCATACAGAAAGAAAATGTTTAAAAGTGGTTAATTATGATGAGATAATGTTAATCAAATTAATTGTTGATTAGCGTTTATCTTTTATAATTGTAATATAAAAGAGGAAAATGTCTTTTTGATTAAAGTTAACAATTTAAATCAGCAATTTGAAATCAAGTATCTTTAAGATACCTAATGTCATTTGATTTAAAATGATTACAGTCAAATCCCTTTGAATTCATATACTCAAAAGATTGAATTTATCTTTCAGAGGAAACAAAAATTTTTTACTAATTATCAATTCGTCTCTTGCTCTATCGAACTATGTAAATCATAATCAATAAATTTTTATTTCTTAAAATTAGTTAAAAGACTATTGTGAAATTTGAGCATTACAATAATGGCAATAACAATTCATTATCGAACCTGAATTGGAAGTTGCAGTGAAATGTTTCATGAATTAAATTTTCTGGTTTAGATTTAATATAATTAATAATTAAATTTCACTACAACTTCTCCTTCAGATTCGATAATCAATTGTCAATGTCATTATTGTTATAATCAAATTTCACAATAGTTTTTTAACTAATTTTAAGAAATAAAAATTATTGATCATGATTTACATAGTTCGATAGAGCAAGAGACGAATTGATAATTAATAAAAAAAATTTTGTTTCCTCTGAAAGATAAATTCAATCTTTTGAGTATATGAATTCAAAGTGATTTGACTGTAATGTCCTTGATTGTGAATTATTTGCATCACGTTTTGATCCTAAATTCAATCAAATAATAATAATTGATGATTGATGATAATTTGATTTAATCAGCAATCCAAAGATTAATATTGATTATGGAATCATGTTATTATTCAAATGGTTTCAATTTTCCTCCTTCTTTGATTGTTTCTCTATGTTTGGTTATTGTTTTATAATTGTTTCCTTTTTGTCATGATAATTATAAACCCTAATTTTATCACCGGTAACAATCAAGATTGTTGTTAAACCAAATAATATTTACATTGAACTTTTTTCCTTTGAGAAAATTTCATCATCATTATTTCAATGTTCACAAAGGAAATTGATTCATTTTCCTCAATAATGACTTTTTCATGATTAGTTATTATTGATTGTTGAGCTTATTCATCATCTGAGGTAAGAATATTAGTTAGATTCTTGTCTATGTCACCTGATAAATTTTCTCATAAAATTTCTCTTCATTGGCTCATAATAATCTCGACGAAGAATGACCATTTCAGGGGTTTTTCGTAAAGGTCCAAACATATCGGACTCCGATTCGATGACCAACACAACAAGGCACGAGGCGAACAAGAGTAACAATAATGCTGTTAACATGAAAGTCCGTAAGTGTAGTAGATTGCAACACGGTCGACACGAGCCTAGTGGATCGAATGGATTTTCCTCAGCGTTTTTATCATCCTCAGAATTGGGTGTAGATAATTTGATCAATGGTTTAATCAACTTTTTCCCATCGCCACTAGTTCCACACCCTGAGCTTCCCTGGTCAATGTTATTTTCATTATGATGATCACCAAGATCATCGTCATCATGTTCTATCTCTTCATCATCTCCCGTGGTATCATCTCCACCCTCGCCAGTACCATTTTTCTTGAAAAGATTCGCAGACGGAGAAGATCGAACAGCAGGAATTTCGAATGCCATAGAACGACTTTCTTCATCGGTGGGCGTAATATCAGGCCTCAAGTCAAACTCAGTGGGAAGAGTGGACGTCATTGAAGTGTCCCACTCTTCCTCGTCGAAAGGATCCAAAGCATGGGGTGAAGAGGTTACATGATTTTCCTCTGGTTCCGAGAAAGTAGAATAGTTCCAATAAGGATCTAATTAAGGAAGAAATTGAATAGAGAGAAAAATTAATTCACATATATACAATAAGTGAGAAAAAACTCATCTAAACAATAATATTTCATGTAACTGATTTCATCAGATTTTTTTTTTCATCAACTATTAATGAAAAATGAGAATCCAAGGGTGGATACAACCATTAAAATGAAAAGAAAAACAAGACAAATCATTAAAAACGAAAACCTTGAAATTATTACAATAATAATTGTTGTTAAATTACCATTGTGATGATAGATATTCAATGTAAATCTAAGGTTTACAGGTAATAACGATATTTATGATTGATTGTTTTAACAGTATAACATGAAAAATAACAACTAATCTAACAAAAAGTGTTTAGGTAATGACAAATACACGCACATATAACGTTAGTTAGATAATCAAAATAAATGACTAACCTTTCCCATTGAAATTTGATTCTCGATTAGGAGATTCGTGTTCTCGATCCTGTTCAGAGGTAGTAATTGGTGCAGTACTTGAACGACCGATAGTTCGGATGTGAGGAGGTGCGGATGCTGTTGAATAGCTTCGTTGGATAGTCGCTTCCTTCCGATCGATTCCTTTCATGTCATTGATTATTTCTTTTTCAACTCGACCCCTGTGAACAATTAACCATTTACAATTTATGAAATGCACTTAATCATAGGACAGAAATTGATAGGATATTTTTCTTATTCAAATCAACGTACGTGTATCTTAATTTGCATGTTTTAAATAGCCCACCTCCAGTGGTAACCAAAGGTATATCATTTGAAGAGTTCATTCTGAAAATATAAGACAAGAATTATTTAATCAATCAAAAATAATCAAATCAGATCATCAACTAAAACAAAAAAATCAATACTAAGATTGCTCAAGTTAAATAAAGGTTATCCTTGACTTATAATCATCATCATCATTCACTGATTGATGATTATTTCAAATTATCTTGAGTTAATCACTTTTTTTTATGATCAGCGGAATGATCATTATGATTCAAGTGCTATAAATAATAGTCAGTGTCTAATGGTAAAGTATTATACAGATGACAATTTAGTTTCAACTCATCAATTGTTAATTTAGTCACAATTAACTAGCTAAATGTATGATTAGCTAATTAAGACAGTTCATAAATTGACAGTTAGATTTTGATAAAACAAACTATGTAAACTTTGAATTGTTGTCAGAAACAATTAACTTAATAGTAGTAAATAATAATTTCCTTCCAGTTAAAATTCAGTCCAAGCTCAATTAGTTTACATATTAATCGAGTTCACTGATTTCTTGATAGTCCTTCTTTCGTGTATCATTTCCTGGTCTCTGTCTCTTAACATGGTTGACAAAATGATGGAGAAAAATTAATTGCCATTGGTGATGAAATACATGTTAATCATGTTCCTCTCACGTTTTCCATTTAATCAGTTAATTGTTAAATGTACAATTAAAAACATGATCATGATGATTGATTGTCGAATAGCAGAATCAACAGAGTAACAATTAGACTTACGTGAAAAAGTATCGCTGTTCAACTGCACATCTCCAGAGGAAATGACAGGCCGAAGTGTTTGGACATTTAAACCCAACTAGATGTTTCTTTTTCTGGACAATTAAATGACCATAGAAGAAGAGGAAGAAGCAAAAAAACGTTAATTAGTTAATTATTCGTAAAAAACATCATCATTATCTCTTTTTATAAAATTTCAAACAAGACAAGAAATTCACATTTGAACAAACAATTAACCTTAATGACGATTCAGGATTGAGAAAATAATCAAATTTATAATGAATAACAATCTCTTCCAGCAAAAAAAAACAAGATCATCAACAATCAATAAAACAATCAACATTAGGATGAACTCATGAGGAGTATATTAATTGTTAGATAAAATTGATTGTTACACCATCTTAATTATTCATTGTAAATATAATTCCGACTGTGACTGTTGATTTATACCAGAATTAAACTAACCATGACTTGTCATATCCCTTAGTTAATATCGATCAATTTTCCAGTGAAACTTTTTTTTCCATAGGAAAATATTACTCTTGGAGCTTGATTTTTTTACTCTTCTCTTCATCAATATTATTGAAGGAAAACACAATCAACTAGGAAATTAAAGATTGATTATGATTATAATATAAATTGTTAGTTTTTATGTTACTCGGTTCAAGTAATTAACTGTTAACTCTTGAAATTAGATTTTGAGTTTAATCTGATTTAGTCTTTTGTTACTGTGGTCAATTGGGTAAACAAAATGATTATTGATTATAATCTATCATGGTTAAGTAATTTTCCAAATTGTCATAATAATACAATAGAGGAAATATTAATTGTCTTTTCTGAGCTGGAAGTTTTTTTTTCCTTGAAGAAATAATAATAATAAAATCTCAGTAAATAACAAGGTTATGAAGATTGACTTGGTTACATGATAGTCATTGTTAAATTAATCAGTTTGCAAGCTAATCATCATTAATATTATCTTCAAGGAAATAAAAAACTTGATTGTAATATAACAAATCATTCAGGATAAAATGTATTCTCATTCATTTCTTAAAGGAATAATTTCAATCTCTGAATAGTTTGATTGTCTGTCTAGAAATCGGTTGTTGATTGATTCAAGTTTGATTGGTTAATTTTTGTATCAGATGATTAGAATATGAATTAAATTCTTACATCATTAGTTGATGCATGGACGATGAACATTCTTCCTTCATAGGTGAGCTTTTGAATTTCATTCCTAACATGGTGTGATAGAAAAAGAAAAGAATAAGACAATTAGAAGTTAAGAAAAAAAATAATCAAGATGATTATGTCAATATAATGATGACGAGGATGTTTCTTACCATTTAAAGCTTTGAATTCGACGATTTCCTTGAAATGTTGTAATCCCATTATAATTGATTCCAAGGTATAATTGTTTACCTTTATGATCTTTAACGGGATGTGGGTCGATACCATAGGTTTCCAGGGTTGATGCTTTCTTGATGAAATTGAGCTCAGCATCAGCTGGAGTTAATCCTCTCATGTCTTTCATGTGAATCTCCCAGACGGTTTTCTCAAGTTTCGCCGTTTGGTTTGGAACTAATTTGAAGCTGGAAATATAATTCTCTCCATGTTCTTGAGGATCATAATCCCCCAATTCGGCTAAAAGAAATAAGAAAATAATAATACAAAACATATAACAAATATTCAAATACTGAAAACTCAAGTAACCATGAAAGGGAAAAAATAATTCTATGCAACGTTAGAGTAGAAACAATGAATAAAAAATCATTAAATGTTTCAATAGAATTCAGTTCAAGTTAATTCATGGATTGTTTTTACTAATAAAAGCCGATCATTGGTAACAATTGAGAGAGAGAGAGAGAGAGAGAGAGAGAGTATGTGAGGTTATTAGGTGATACTTACATTGTATTATGTAAGCCATTAGAATTGGAAGTTCATTCGAGGAACATTGAAGTCGCCCATGAAGTAGATCACGTCTCAATTGCATGAAGATAAAATATCTGGTAACTTCTTCTTTCAATCTAATTGGATCAGCTGGATAGAATTTAACTCTAAAACAGAAAACAATCGGGCTTAATCCTTTAACTTGCTTTAGAATATATCGACTTGGATCAAGCCAATTCCTTTGCTGCTTTTGATCAACATATCGAAGACCAAAATAATCTTTTTCCAATAGATTTAGATTCTTATAACAATAATCGAGTAAATGTTGTCCTTTATGCTCTTTGGTAAAATCACATTCAAGTACTTCCTCGTCATCCAGAAGTTTAATTGTACTTTTAAAATCACATGTGAGATCCTTTTTAGATGAAAATTTGAACAAACTCTTCAATTCACTCATGATGATTGGTGTCCTTTTTTGATTTCTCTTGGTTGATTGTTGTTATTTTCTTTAGATCTTTATTATGACGAAGATATAGATCGATGAATACTGTTGATTGTTGCTTGATGAATATAAAATATTATATATGTGTGTGAGAGTAATTAAGTTAATGGATTTTTATGTTATGAATGGAGCAAAGCATATGAGAATTGAGCACTTGAGGTGTTGTGTCCAAATGGTGATGATGATAATTCAGATCTAATTGTAATATAATTTAGTAATACTGAGTTGGTTATTTGGTTTAGATTGCAAGATACTTTCAATCGTAATACAATCAAAAAATATCCAGATTATTTACATTGGATGGTAAATAAAGAAGGTAGATTATCCAGATTGATTGGATTGGATTTTAAAGGGTCACAGGTAATGTTGTTGTTGTTGTTACAGGCAGGAAATTAATTGTTTAGAAGATAGTGATTGAGGAAATAAATTATCCATAATAAATGGGTAATCAGTGAAACCAGAAAATAGGTTAGGGCTAGAGAAATGATTCCAAGTTGATTGTTTTTGCAGCTCAGCGAAAAATGAGCAATACCAACAGATCGAGATTAAGGTTAAATCAATATCACCGTCCACAAATAATGATGACACAATTTAATGGGTTTATCTTGTAGTAATACAGAGACCAGATTCTGTAATATTTCTTATTTTTGTTTCGTATTTTCAAGGATTAGTGGTAATCTCAAGCAATCACTGTTTCTTTTATAATCTTGGATGTGTATTTGTCTCTAAAATCTGTCTATCAATGGGTGACAACAGTTTATCGAACATGTAATTAACTGTAGATAAACATTTATCTCATGTAATTAACAATAAGAAAGGGAAAAAGAAGAAGACGAGATTGACATAAACAAGAAGAAAAGATGGTGAAAATAGAGAAAGAAATCATGAAGAAGATGAAACGTTTGGTCTTTTGTTTACAATGTTGATTCCTTTGGAGTGAAGGTTTGATTCCATTGAAAGAGAATAGAAAATCAACACTGAATTCATGGTAATAAGATGATGATGGAAGAGCAAAAAAAAACTAAAACTAAAACAAAACAAAAGAGTCAGAAGAAAGAGAGGAAAAGAGAGAATGAAAGAGAATGAAAACCAGTATAGGAAGGTTTCCAATGGAAAAATAACCCCAGACCCGACTAGTGGCGTGATTTTATTGAAAAGCGCGATTTATGAACAACAAACTTGATGATTAAAGAGATATATAAATAGATAAAGAACTCAAAATCCAAATAACAACGCGCACCATTTTCGCCTTTCTCTCTCAAAGCTCTTTTTTCTCTCTCTCTCTCTCTCGCTCTTTGTCTTTCTTTTCTTCTTTCTTTCTTTAAAGGCTTCTTAAGAACTAACCATCAAAGTAACACATTGATACTTTTGCTGTTTAATCATCAACATTAACCACTAATTAACAGTATAATTGTGGATAACAAAACATCAAACACTTTACATCCACACTTTTCCTGATAACATTTACGAAGAAAAACGAAGAAATGATTTGTTCGTTAAATACCATTTGATTAATCCTACCTTTAAAGGCTCAAAAGATTTATTCAATAAACCTTGGATTAGTTGGTGTCAACATCTTGTCAATTTTAAGCTTGGAATCGAAGATTACAATTCTCATTTAAAATACCAATTTCTATCATCTGAAACTTCTTGTTTAGAATGGACCAAATTTTTCCATTTCAATGGTGATCTAATTGATCCAGCAACTGTAAAAGTGTATCCCGATTGAACTGAACTTGATCCAACAAGATGTTTATGATTCTGAATTAATAAATTCAACTATAAAGTTACTTAATATTTAAATTAAAGTAAAATAAAAAATAAAAAACAAAAATATTTGTAGTTGAATTGTATATTGAATTCATTAATTAAACTTGTATTTGAATGGCGAGTCAAAGAAATCATAATTCATTCAATTCAATCAGGAACTGATCTAAGTTGAATTAGCATATTGATTAACAACAATTAACTTTCACAAACAAACTTTGAAAAAAAATAACAAATGAAGACAAAGATTAGTATTGAATACAATTAAAAGTGAAGGTTAAAATTGAAAGTTAATCATCTACATTAGTAGATCGTTGGTTTTTAATTTTGTAGAATTAAAATGAACATTAAATTAAATTAAAATTGAATTAAAATCAGGATGATGGTGAGAGAGAAAGAGAGTTGAGGATGAGAATGAGGATTTACGTCTTGATTTTAGATCATTTTGGAGATTTCTTTTTCCGATTGGCACAATATCACCGATGTAAAGTGTTTGATGTTTTGTTATCCACAATTATACTGTTAATTAGTGGTTAATGTTGATGATTAAACAGCAAAAGTATCAATGTGTTACTTTGATGGTTAGTTCTTAAGAAGCCTTTAAAGAAAGAAAGAAGAAAAGAAAGACAAAGAGCGAGAGAGAGAGAGAGAGAAAAAAGAGCTTTGAGAGAGAAAGGCGAAAATGGTGCGCGTTGTTATTTGGATTTTGAGTTCTTTATCTATTTATATATCTCTTTAATCATCAAGTTTGTTGTTCATAAATCGCGCTTTTCAATAAAATCACGCCACTAGTCGGGTCTGGGGTTATTTTTCCATTGGAAACCTTCCTATACTGGAAATTATATATGAAATCATGAAGAAGATGAAACGTTTGGTCTTTTGTTTACAATGTTGATTCCTTTGGAGTGAAGGTTTGATTCCATTGAAAGAGAATAGAAAATCAACACTGAATTCATGGTAATAAGATGATGATGGAAGAGCAAAAAAAAACTAAAACTAAAACAAAACAAAAGAGTCAGAAGAAAGAGAGGAAAAGAGAGAATGAAAGAGAATGAAAAAGAGTAAAAACATCAAAGTGAGAGAAAGAGAAAATTATGCAAAGAGAGAGCCAATAAGACTGAGGAATATGGGAAAGAAAAAAAAGAAAAAAGAATTAGAAAAGAAACTAAGATGTTGATGATTAACTTTAAGTCGATGATTATGGTTAATTAGGTAACTAACTAATGGAAATTTAAATGTGTAAGTGACAGAGAGAGAGAGAGAAAAAAAAAAGACACAATTCAAATGAACAGAATCGAGAGAAGAAAAAATCAACACAGAGAGAAAGAGAGACAAAAAGAGAAAAGAACAAAAAAGAAAGAGAAAAAGAAAAAGAAAGAGAACAGAAAGAGAACTGAAAATGTAGACACAAGAAAAGGTGGAACCTCAACTAAGGCGCCATTTAAGTGTTTCTATTATCATTTTCATGGAAATTCAGTCATTTCTTATTCACATCGAGAAATTAATTCATCACTTTAATTGCGAGTTGTGTGTTTACAGACCAAACCATCGATCCAATTTGAATTAATTGTCTAATTTTCTAAAAAATTGTCAATAGAAAAAAGAAAACCGCGAATATTGTTTATTATTATTCGGTCCCTGGTTTTCTATTGGCTCGTTTGGTGTCTTCATTTGGCTCCGTCATTTGATTGAAAAGACAAAATTGATTATTGTTCTTGTTTCTTTAATCATTAATTGTTACCTTTGTTAATTTTGATTAACTTTAACTGTTTTTAATCCATTTTAATTATTCCAATCTGATTGGTTTTTTGTTCTTTGACATTGTTGGTTGTTCACTTAGTCTTTCGGGTTTGTGTCTTTACTTTACTTTCTTTCTTCTCTTTTTCATCTGTCTTTCTCTCTTTCTATCTCTTTCTCTTTCTTGTTCTTTGTTTGTGATTTTTTTTTCTCTTATATTTAACTGTAACTAAATTATATTTTATCTTTAAAATAGATTCTAATAATGGCTAAGGTACATTTAATCAATGTGGTCGTTTTGGATAATCCTGCTGCATTTGACTCACCTTTTCAATTTGAGATAACCTTTGAATGTCTAGAGGATTTGAAGGAAGATTTAGAATGGAAATTAATTTATGTTGGTTCTGCTGATAGTGAAGAATATGATCAAATATTGGACTGTGTCTACGTTGGCCCTGTTCCTGAAGGTCGTCACATGTTTCTTTTCCAAGCAGATCCACCGGATCCATCGAAGATTCCAGTTCAAGATGCTGTAGGTGTTACCGTTATACTTTTAAGCTGTTCTTATCGTAGTAAAGAATTTATTCGAGTTGGTTATTATATTAACAATGAATATACAGTTGAAGAGTTGAAAGAAAATCCACCGGCTCAACCTGAATTTGATAAACTTCAACGTAATATATTAGCTACTTATCCAAGAGTTACTCGATTTAAAATTGATTGGTGTGACGCTGTTGTGTCGGAAGAAAATGGCGGTGACAAGCCTGAAGAAAATGGAGCTGATGAAGAGGAAGAATTAATGGATACTATGGAAATGAACTCCGAGATGGTTAATGAAGGAAACAATGGAATCTCAGTAGAAACGAATTCAGATGCAAATTCTGAGATGAATGTCGAACCAAATAATGAGATAATTTCAGAAAATGGAAACAATCATGAAGCAAATGCAGAGATAATTAACAAATCTGAACTCACTCTAAATAACATTGACTCAACCAGAACACCCGATGTAACAACTGAATTACAAACCCAAAATGAGATTCCAACTTCGTAACTGTTTTAATTAATCGTTTTTAACTCATAACATTGATATGAGAAGAAAAAATTTCCTAAAAAAATTGTAACTTTTCTTGCTGATTACATGACCAGCAATCTAAAGGTGGGAAAATGTCTTATGAAAAAACTCACCCACTCCTCCAGTCATGTAGACACCCTAAAGTAAAGGGAACCGCCAATAAAACAAAATCTTTATCCATTGTCATAGAAAAACTCATCTAAAGATTATCCTCTGGAGAATTTATTCTCTTACATATCAACCATCATCTCAGAGAAAATGATTCCTAATGTTAACACTCAAAGAACACCAAATGATTTAGTGAATTAAATTCTCGATGTGAATAAGAAATGACTGAATTTCCATGAAAATGATAATAGAAACACTTAAATGGCGCCTTAGTTGAGGTTCCACCTTTTCTTGTGTCTACATTTTCAGTTCTCTTTCTATTCTCTTTCTTTTTTGTTCTTTTCTCTTTTTGTCTCTCTTTTTGTTTCTCTTTCTCTCTGTGTTGATTTTTTCTTCTCTCGATTCTGTTCATTTGAATTGTGTCTCTCTCTCTCTCTCTCTCTCTCTCTCTCTCTCTCTCTCTCTCTGTCACTTACACATTTAAATTTCCATTAGTTAGTTACCTAATTAACCATAATCATCGACTTAAAGTTAATCATCTTAGCTAATTGTTGTTGTTGTTCTTTCTCTTTCCTCTGATGTGATTCTTTTTTTGTTCCGTTCTTTGCTTCTTCCACTAATTAATCAATTATTGCTAACTAGATTTTAGGCGTATTCTAAAATATCCTTTTTAGATTGGATCTTTTCTCATTAAACAATAATTGACAGTATTTATCAATGCGATCTAAGAGTGATAATCATCAGCGAATGGTTATTAAAATAAAAAGGAAAACATTAATTATGAGTGAATTGAAGATCTTTTTTTTTCGTATTTCCATCTAAAACAATTGCACGTATGATGTTAAAAGTACAATTAAACTTGATGATGTGGTACATGAATGTTATTTGACCAAAAGAGTATACGAACATTCACTCAATTACTTCTGTAGTAATCTTAATCAAAAAGAAAAAGATTATTTCGGTCTTCGATATGTTGGTCCAAAAGAGACAAGAAGTGGTTTTGATCCATTACGATATTCAGTTGGAACATCTTGATTACAAATCTGATAATTCGGATGTTGACTTTGCTGTTGATATTGATGGTGTTGTTGCTGTTGCTGTTGTTGATATTGATGAGCAACTGGAGACCGAGAAGAATTGATTTTATTTTGATGAGTTGCAGCGTTTTGTTTACGTTGTTCAAGAGTGTTTTGAATGATACGCTGATTCTCAGCGACGAAAGAAGCAGGTATTGGTGGATCAGGTTCCAACTGCTCGATCCATGTAAGTGGCGGAGGTGGAGGTGGTAAAATCGAAGCTGGTGGTTCGAATGGAGGAGGTACACCGGTCACATTGCTTATTTTCAATTCTCGAATAGCCTTGAGAGCCACATTTTCGTACATTTTACTGGGTGACTCAGATGGATTAACTGGGTGACAGAATTTCTGATTATTCGGAAGCTGAATATTCGAGAATACAAGTTTATTTGCATTGCTTGGACCAATACGTTCTTGTTTGTAGACTGGTTCTTTTCCGAAATTTACTCTACTCCATTCATCCAATGTAGCTCTTGCTGTACCTTTGTTTTGTTCCTCTGCCAACATCATTTGCATAAACTGATGACCGGTGTAACTTTTAGGCGCTGATGATCCAGAAGCTGGTGATCCCGATGAAGCCTTCATCGTATGTTTATTTCTTTCTTCTGCTGGTGAAGACTCTTTATTCTTGATTCTTGTCAGAATTGATGTTGGTCCAGTTTTAACAAAATTTGTGTTGTTGTTATTTTTCATTTCCTTTGGACTTTGAAATAATGATCTTGGTGAATGGTTGATTTGTATTGGTGATGAGATGGTCGGTTGTTTTCCATTGTTGTTATTTCTATGATCATTGTGATAGTTGAAGTTGCTGTGATTGTAATTGTGGCCAATATTTTGATTATCTTGATCTAGATAATCACGTTTAAGTGAATACTCGTGTCTTTCATGATTACGATTAGGCGATAAGTTGATCAATTTCTTTGGACCAGGAGATATTTTCTGACGAGGTTTTTTGTCTTTATGTTCACTTCGAGCAGGTTGAATCGGAGCCAGTTCGATTTCCTCATGAGCACCATAATTTCCATTCTTCTTCTTGTAGAAATGTTAATTAGGTTAAATGGATGGAGTCTATAACCTCTTCCAGCACTACAGTTGAGGCTTAAACCACCAATAAATGGCTCATCGAAAACAATGTCACAAAGATAAGTGTCGTCATCAAGTTTATCTTTAGTTTTACCTATGATGACACCTCTTGCTCCAAGTGGGACAGAAATACCTTCACGTACATTAACCACACGATTAAATAAATTAAAAGATGCATTTGAATCGGGTGGCGAGTGCCCAATTATGTTGGCAGGACGATAAAGCTGATTGGTGGAGTAAACTAAAGTGATCGGATCGAATTGGTTGGAAAATACCTAATTAAGAGAAAAAAGCAAACATTGGCAAAAAAGCAAAAAAAGCAAACACAAGAAAAAATGAAAGATTAGATAAATTCAACTTCTTCTTTTACGATCTAATCATAATTACCTTATGACTGTCCAAAACATCTTCAATACATTTTACGACAATCTCATCAAGAGCTTCGGCATCAAATTTCATTCTTCGAGCATTTTGATAAGGCATCTTTTTCAACCAACCAGCAACTTCTGTAATTTTGGTTTCACTATAATGAGAAAGATTAAAGCATTAGGAGGGATGAGAAAATTTCTAATTGTTGAAAAAAAACCTACGGATTAGGACCACTGAATATTTGCTCTGGTTGGAAACGTTTCTGATCAGCGAGTTTACTCAAATTGATGAACAGTTCAGGGAACTTTTGTTTATATTCTTCCATGATTTTAAAAGTTTTCCAAGAAAATAGCCACGTTTCTTCTCGTCTTTGTGAATAGCCAGGAACGTATTCCCTTCGAGTTACAAATTTCAAATTAAGACCAATATTGACTTTATCTCCATTTGATTTTTCAACCATCACTGTACCAGTTAATCTTGAAACTATACAAGGATTAACATTCAATCTTGTTGCCAATGAATGATTCGTCATGTATTCTTTGCTCATTAGCTCATAAGCACGATTTTTAACCTCAATCAGTTCAGCTTCAGGCTCAGAGACTCGTTGAATTTGAACTTTCACTTTATTGGTTTTCTTTTGAACTTCAATGATATCCGCAATGTCACCATAATACTGTTCATTGAGAATGAAACATTTTGATCCAATAGGAAACAGTTCTTCCAATTTTTTGGTCCTCTCATAGCTGGTTAATCTAATAGGAAGATTTTTGATACTCATTGGAAGTGGAGTACAACTTTCAATGGGAGACCATTGTTTGTCAAGAGACACTTGACCGTTTGGTCCTAAATTATATTTACAGCCAGTGAGTGGTTTACAGTATAAAACCGTATAATATTCGGGCAAGTAGATACCTCGTCGATTTTTTAATGTATCCACGACATTTTTCACTTGAGCAGCGGCTTCTCGCCTTTCCTTGTCACGTAATTCTCGGATTTCTTGCTGACCTGAACTAGTCAGGATGTACATTTTTTCTCCATCACAAATTCTGGAAACTTTAGCTTCAACCAAAAATGGCCAATTAATGTAAACAGTTTGACCAAGATATTCGGTTAGAGCAGATTGTATGCTTATTTTTGGTTTAGGTGATAAATCAATTAAAATACTAGAACCAGACGAAGGCATTTCGAAAACACGTACACTAGCCTTTTCCAATCTTGCAGTGTGTTTCATTGTCCTTAAAGTTGGGAAACCAGGGGTGTAAACATCAGGATCAATTCCTGGTAAAAGTCCCTTAACAATTGATTTCATGGGAATACAATAAGCATCTTTATGAACTCTAACGAGTTTAGCATGATTAACCTCAATATCTGGTAAGATACCAGGTAATGTTGATAAAATGGGTGTTTGATGTTCACGAACATAAGTGAATTGTAAATGAGGTCCATGAGAATTTCGTTTTCTCTCTTTTTCGGTTAACTGTGGTTCACATGATTTAGCAGCTTTTAATAGTTTTTTTTCATCAATAAAAGGAATCACAACAACAGCTTCCCAACTGTTAACTTTACCATTTAAATCGAGTTCAAAATCAGCTGGATAATAATCTTTTAAAGGTGAATTCTCTTCTGTTACCAATCGTTGAAATGATTTGGGTAGAAACTCTTTACTTGCTGCAGGTAAAACACCCAATAATTGTTCATATGGTTTAAAAGGTTGACCAAGATCGAAGGTGAGATCAATTTTTTCAAAGCTTTTAACATCAGAAATATATGGTGCATAATGATGAGGATAATACCATGACCAGGAAGGACAACCATCATAATAATAATGTAGATTCCATTGGATAGCTTTAATATAACAATAGGCCTGTTCTTTTAGTACATCGGGAGTAACATCTTCATAGTTCATTTTGGTTCGATAATAATCTCTCTTGTGCATGATAAATTCATCTTCAAGAGTATCATCTTCTTCTGATAGGGATAATTCTTCGTCATCCTCTTCTTCAACCTCATCTGAGGTTTCATCGGAACACAAATCAATCAAATTTGAATCACTATCAGGCCCTGATTCCAGGGATTCACCAATAACACCAATACAGTCTTCATATTTTTCCAATTTACGTGGGAACTTGAATTTACTTGTTTTCGAATCAAGATATTTGAAATCAGCGTTCATCTCATTAAAATTTTCTACATCAATTTCAGATAATTTGTGGAGAAATTTTTGAAAATTACGAAGATTCAGTTTACCCTGGTGATTAAGGTAACCATCACAGTTAGGTAAAACCTCCATATACACTTTGTACAATGTGGTGAGAGCATTTTTAGCAATATGAAAATGAGGAAGATGAGGAATGAAATCGTTACCACAAAGGAAACCCATAAGTACCCAATCGTCAATTATGTGTTCTAAATCATAGTCAAAGGGTAACACTTTTTTAAGTGGTGAAAATTCATGATCAAGATAATCTCTTAAAAGAGATAAATGAAGAAGGTGAAAATTAATTGCTTCAGGATTTACATGGAAAGTTGTTTCTTTCTCTTTTCGACGGCGAAATTTAACTTCCTCTCTGAGTAAAGCAAAATAAGGTTCATGTGAACACATTCCAAGCATAATTAAATCAGCATCTAGACCATACAAACAATGTCGTGTATTGGGATCATAATCAGGTTGTGATCTTTGGGCACGAATAAAGTCCATTATTTTATGTTCACCTTCACCAGGAGTTTCATGACCAGAAAGAATGACTTTAACATTTCTCCACAATTCATCATTTGAAATTTTAGCAGCAACAAAATATTCCAAGTGTGTTTGAAGACGAGCCATAAAATCTGTACCAGGTGTAATACAATTAGAATCAAATCGAGCCTCTTTAGGTAAAATTTCTCCTTTATTTTGTGCTTCAATTTCCCTGGTAATGGCATCTTTTGCTGACCTAAAACGTCGTCCTCTTTGTTGATTCATTTTAGCTCGAGGAGCAACACCATCAACCGCCATGAAGAAAACTTTTTTCGGTTTGATGATATTAAAAAGAGTTTCAATATATTTGAAAATATCTTTAACCATAACCTCTTCAGGTAATCTAAAGTGAACATCTTCATCATTTGGATGAGAACAGGCATGAATAATACCATTCATATCAAGATAGAGATTATCAAACTCAGGTATCTAAACATAGCCAAAAGAAATACAGTTAACAGTATTAGATTCAAAGAAAAAGAGAACAGAGAACATAGAGACCAAAAAAGAAAAAGGAGAGCAAAAAGAGACAGAAAAAAAAGACAAGCAAGAGAAAGATAAAAAAAATGAGAATATTATGTTATAAGTATAGAGAGAAATATAGAGAGAATTAAATTAATGAAGACAAGGTTAAAGAAAGAAATAGAAAATGATGCATCGACCATCTTACCTCACTTTCTCGGACAACCTGGTTCAAACAGGGATATCTTTCGGACATCCATCGGTAAAATTTAGGAACACCCATGATAATTAATTAATTTAATTTCGTTGTTTACAATTAATTTTTAAGATCCGATTAAATTGAACAAAGAAAGAAAATTAGATTTTGTATATTTAATGTAATGTCGACACAAACAAAGAAAATAGTAGAATGAAAGGCGAAAGGAGAATCTTTTCTTCTTTCTTTCTTTCTAAATTTGAAGTTTCATTTTCTATTCGCCAGAAGGAGTTACATTCACATTCTTTTTAGAAGGAAAAGTAACGCCATCTGGTTGGGGAGTAGAATTAGATTCTCTTTTTCTGATAGATTTTTTTTTCTCAATTTTCTCCAAAGTTAATTATTTTTCTCATTCTCTTGGAGTTAATTGTGTTTGCTAATTTTTTTAATCATGTCTGATTCCGAAGATTCATTGCCCACTAATGGTTCATCAAACGATGTAAGTATTTAGATTATCTAGTGATTATTGTTACCTTTTCTAACGTCATTCGGTCTTTTATTTTCTCTCTTTCTCTTCTTCTTTCCTCTTTTTCATCTTTTTTTCTGTTGCTTCTTTTTTCTTCCCATTATAATGTGTGTGGTTTTTTTCTGGTTGTGTCTGGCTTGATGTCTTTCCTTCTCCTTCTTTTTCTGCTTCCATTTCCACTGGAAAACAGCATATGAATGATACCGGATCTTATAAGCCGAATAAAAGGAAGAAGACATATTCTGATGATGAATCTAATTATTCTGATTATGAGAAGGAAATTGAAAGGAAAAGAAAAGAAAAGTCCAGTGGTGATAAAAAGAAAGATAAGAAAAAATCTAAAACCATAAAGCCAGGTTGGTATTTTTACTTCTTTCCCTTTGCTTCCACTTTACACACATTGTATTCTGTGTTTCTATGGATTTGAGTGTGTGTGTTTTATCATGTATTTTTTTTCTCTCTTTTACTCTTTTGTTTTAAATTACACGAGTTTTCTCTTCTGATTCAATGTTAGTCATTCCTATTTTTCTAGCATTTTTCTCAGAATTTTGTTAGTTAATTGCTGTATGTGTGTATGTACCTGACTGGTTGCATGTAAAGGAAGCTAATTAAAGTGTTGTCATGATTTCTTCTTCTTTTCACTAATATATTGCTTTTGTTTCCTTTTTTTTCTTCTCGATCATCTTTCTTTTCTTTAGATCCTGACTCACCTCCTCGTAAGAAAAAATCTAAATCTGAGGCAAATGGTAGCCCAACTAAATCTCCTGGTAAGAAAAAGGTTAAAAAAGAGGAAGAGGAAGCCCAACATATTTGGAAATGGTGGGAAGAAGAAAATAATGACCAAACAATTAAATGGAAAACTTTGATTCACAAAGGTCCGATATTTCCTCCTGATTATGATCCACTCCCATCTAATGTCAAATTTTATTACGATGGTAAACCTATGAAATTATCTCTCGGAGCTGAAGAAATTGCTGGTTTTTATGGTAAAATGCTTGACCATGAATACACCATTAAGGACACATTCAACAAAAATTTCTTCAAAGATTGGCGTAAATATATGACAGCCGATGAAAGAGAAACTATCAAAGATTTAAAAAAATGTGATTTTAGGTCGATGCATGAATATTTTAAAGAACAAAGCGAATTGCGTAAACAGATGACTAAAGAAGAGAAACAAGCAAGGAAAAAGAAGGAGGAAGCCCTCATTGAGGAATATGGTTATTGTATAGTTGATGGACATAAACAGAAAATTGGTAATTTCAGAATTGAACCTCCAGGTTTATTCAGAGGACGTGGTGAACATCCAAAGATGGGTAAAGTTAAAGCTCGTATCAATGCAGAAGATATTATCATTAACATTGGTAAAAAAGCACCTATTCCCCCACCACCTTCTGGTCACAAATGGAAAGAGGTGAGACACGACAACACCGTTTCATGGTTGGCATCTTGGACTGAAAATATTATGGGCAATGTCAAGTATGTCATGTTGAATCCATCTTCTAAATTGAAATCTATGAAAGATTGGCAAAAATACGAGAAAGCCAGAGAATTATGTAAATTTGTTGACGATATTCGAAATAATTACCGAGAAGACTTCAAAGATCGTGAAATGGTTAAACGTCAACGTGCAGTTGCCCTTTATTTCATCGATAAACTTGCACTAAGAGCAGGTAACGAAAAGGAAGAAGGTGAAACTGCCGATACGGTGGGTTGTTGTTCCCTTCGTTGTGAACACATTGTTCTTCACGAGGAGAAAGGCGATAAAAAGTATGTGGTTGACTTTGATTTTCTTGGTAAAGATTCAATTAGATATAGTAATTCAGTGCCGGTTGAAAAGAGAGTCTTTAAAAATTTAAAACTCTTCATGGAAAACAAACAACCTGAGGATGACCTTTTTGACCGTTTGAATACATCAACTCTTAATAAATATCTTAACTCATTGATGGATGGATTGACGGCCAAAGTTTTCCGTACCTTCAATGCCTCATTTACCCTACAAGAACAATTGAAACTGTTAACAAAACCGGACATGTCTCAAGCTGAATTAATGTTGGCTTATAATCGTGCTAATCGAGCTGTTGCTGTTCTATGTAACCATCAACGTGCAGTTCCCAAAACGTTTGAAAAATCAATGTCAAATTTACAAGCTAAAATTGAAGATAAGAAAGATCAGATTAAGCAAGTTAAGAAGGAGTTAAAAAGTGACAAAAGCGATAAATTAAAGAAAAAGCTGAAAACCTTAGATGAACAATTAAAAAAATTAGAAGTCCAAGCAGTTGACAGAGAAGAAAATAAACAAATTGCCCTTGGTACTAGTAAACTTAATTATTTGGATCCAAGAATTAGTGTTGCTTGGTAAGTTGATTTCAATTTCAATTCCAATTTTCACTAATCAACTTAATCTTTTTCACCAACCAATTCACCATTCATTAAGATAACTAATTCATAAAGTTGAACTTGTTATTTTTCATTGATATCATTTTTCAATTCTCTTTTCATTTTGAACTTATTATCATATTCTTGCCTTAATCATTGATAGATTTTAGATTTATGATATATCCTTAAAGATTATCATCAAAGTTTAATTCCTCTTTTATAACAAACTTACACTTAATTATTACTAATCAAGTCAATTAATTAACTTTATCTTTAAACTTGTATTTTTCTTACCATTTTTAGGTGTAAAAAGTATAACGTTCCAATCGAGAAAATTTACAACAAAACCCAGAGGGATAAATTCCGTTGGGCAATTGAAATGGCTGAACCTGATTTTATATGGTGATTTAGGAGAATCAAGTAGTAATCAATATGAAGATAAAAAAATTCTCGCTGCTAAATATATACATAAACTTCAACTTTACTCTTTTTCTCCCTCTTATTTCAATATAATAATCATGGTATCAAAGAAACAATTAAAGAAACAAAAGTCTAACCCTTTTGGACATCCAACATTTCAACAACCATTGTGAAATTAACGAAGTAAAAGCAACGATAATATTAAGCTTTCTCTTTGACCAACGGTGTCCGTCAAAATCACCACCATACCAAACCCTTTCTCTCTTTTCATATTTCTTTTTCGTTGTATCCCAAAAAAATAACCCTCTTTCTCTCAGTATTTATATACTGTTTCTCTTACATTATTACCTTTTACCTCTTGTCTTTTTTTCGGGATGAATTGACGCCCTCATCAATCCATTTAAATATTTATATAAATACTTTCGAATCAAATGGAAATCCAAAGGATGGCTACTTCAAAAACACTTCTTCTCTACCTCCTCAAGTCTTTTCTTCTCTGCTACCTTATTTTCCACCTTCTCTTTTCCATCTTTCCATCTTGCCCTCTTTACTTCCTTTTTTCTCTCTTTTTTTCCATGAAAAATTTTCATTTTTTACTTGGTAAATGTAGAAATCTGTCAATATTATCTTTCTACTCTATTCTAATAGGTTACCTAATGTGTATTCTTGCCTATATGACATTACTATTCTTTAGCCTTGACTCTTTTTCTCCCACCCAACCCAAATATACTTTTCATCCTCATCTTGTTTTTTTCACCATCAATATCACACTTTAGACATCAACTTTTTGAGATAACAGTAACAATCTACCACCACCACCACCACCACACCACCAACAACAACAACACCGATAACAACCAAACAATAACCAATTGGGCCTAAGAAAACAATGAAGAAAAAAATCTGCTGGGCATTACCACCAAACATCAACCCTTGACATTGAACTACTTGTACCACTTTTTGTCTTTGTATTTATGTCACTATCGCTCTCCTTTTCCGACAACCTCTTTTGATTCCTCTACAACTGCTACTCTAGCTGGCTCTAAAGATAACGAAAAAAAAGAAGAGATCGAGTGATTATTGATATCATTTTATTTGCATACAAACATAAAGACAACAATTAAGCATTAAGAGCAATTAGCAAACTTGATGAATCGACTCCATCACCAAGACCATTTCCAAACCACAACATCCACGATATGCTTACCAATAATAAATTGCTCTAAACTGCTTTCATAGAAAATCTAATATGTTTCAAAGAATCTCCTCAACTATTTCTAAATTATTGTTCTTAATTACAATTGGAATATCACAATTACATCGGTAACTAAATTTTCAATTCATCGATTAACCTTATTAGCAAACGATAAAAACTACAGAAAAAAAACAAGTCTAATTGTCAATCAACAATTAGAACCACATTGACTTTTCTTTCAAACAATTAACAACAAATCTAAAGCACAATAATCAACCAATTTTCCCAACATTCAATTCTACGACTTTTGTTATCTATTATATAATATTATAAACCGAAATTAACTAATCACAACAATTAACTGTTCCCTTTTCCCTCTGCTTTAAATGCTAATTGTTATGAAAAAAAAAACTAAAGACTAATCAACTTGTTCAATTAGTTTCCATCATCTTTGATCACCATTTATTGCAACCATCTTAATTTAATTTCCCATTCTCATTACTCGTAATTGTAATTAAATTTAATTGTCAAAGAAGAAAAAGAATACAAAAAAAATTAATTACTTTTCAATGTTAATTGTCTCCTTTTCCATTAATCCAGTTAATAAACTTTTCTTTTCTTACCTTGTTAAATATGACCACAAATGCAACAACAATTAAGGAGATTAACTATAATTAACTTGTGAAAATTGAAACAATTATATTTATAAATCTTAATAATTTGTCTTTGTAATAAATTAATTGTATTATTTGCGAAAAAGCAAATCAATTTGTGTTTAAATTGATATTCAACTCGTAACAAGAAAATCCAAACAAGATCATCATCAACCCACATAAAGATTGACCATTGGTCAAGAGTAAATAGAAAGACAATAAATTGTGTCCATTAATCCAATAAATAATGTTAATAATAGAGTTGATTGTGATTAAATGCAGTTGAATAGAGATAAGTTGAAAAGGAAGTGATTGTAAACTTGATTCACAATTGAATCTAAGTAGAAGATAAAAAAAAACAATCAGATCAATTGTAATCATTATCATCATCAGTTTCCCTTTGATTGTTATCAACATTTTCATCATCATCATCATGATCAGTTGGTTAATAAAAATAAAAGTTATTACATTTGGTTCTGTGGCCGTTATATCAGGAAATAGAAATAAAATCAACTCGGAATTATATCTGTTTCCGTTTCGAAATCGTAATCAATTGAATTTACCTTTTTTCTTTCCATGCATTCCAATGGTCATTTCAATTGCTTCAAGTCATCTGGTCACTTTCTCAAGATGATGATGAGGATGAGGATGAGGATGATAACAAATATAACAGAAAAAGATAAAGTGACAATGAATATATAAAAATAATCGAGTGAGAATCAACTAGGAATCATCATGATCATCAGACATCATTGTTCAATGTTCAATGAGTACCAATGAATAATATCAAGGGAATTCTGATTTTGACCTTAATTGTTGTTTTACTAAATCATGAGAACGCTTCTTAATCAAGTCGAAACTTTTTAATTTGTTGTTCCTGAGAAAATTCAATTTTAAATATTGACTCATAATCAAAGGAAAACAAAACAAATTAGTAAATTGTGTTAATCAACTTTGAAATTTTCCTGCGGTTCTTGGAGGAATATTAACTTTTACACTCTACTAATTGGATTCCAAGTTATTCCAGAGAAGATTATCTGATTAGTATTGTTTCATTTGATTTTATTTGATTAATTGTTCGATTACAATCTAATCATGAGTAATTTAATCAAATCCGATGAGATTAATCATAAATCATTGGCTAATTTAGCTCCGTTTGTTTCATCGTTACCCGCTTTCTCATTTCTACTAAATTCAAATGGTTCCTCATCTTTGGCAACAGCAACAAATCAAAGTGATTGTAACAATTTAATTGTTAACAGTTCTTCGTCGACAATTAATCTATTTCCATCATCTTCACCATCGACAACCACAAACGGTATCAATCAATTGGGAGGAACCTTTTCAAATGGGAAACCTTTACCTTTCCATATACGATTACGAATATTGGAATTAGCGGTTTGTGGTTATCGACCTTGCGATATATCCCGACAATTACTGGTCTCCCATGGATGTGTGTCCAAGATACTGGCCAAATTTGCTGAAACGGGGTCAATTATGCCTGGAGCAATAGGTGAGTAGTTAATTGTTAACCTGACAAATCAAATCACATTGAACTGAACAATTTGTTTTGGTTGAAAAGTTATTTCTTGTTACTGTTTGATTTACTACTTTGGAAGATTGAAATGCTTTAATTGTTGCTTGTTTTAATTGATCCGTGCTAATTGTAGGTGGAAGTAAACCTCGTGTGTCCACTCCATTGGTCAAGAGGAAGATTAAGGAATATAAGGAATCCAATAGTTCATTGTTTGCATGGGAAATTAGGGATAAATTGTTGGAGGAAAAAATTTGCTCCAAAGAATCGTTACCAAGCATCTCATCAATTAATCGGATTCTCCGTCAATCTTATGGTAAACATAAACCGAGTAAAGTTAATTGTGATCCAATTGTCCGGTCGCTTTCCTCATGCACTGGACAATCAACTCCTAGAAATCTTCATAGTCTTAATCATCAACATCATCGTGTCTCAATTTATCAATCTCATTCCTCTTCTAATCAACTTAATCCTCAAGTTTCACCGAAAATTGATCCGATTAATTGTTCAAAATTAAACTCATCTTCACCTTCATTTTTAATTAGAGATATTTTGGGTTCAATTAAATAAATTGTTTTCTTCAATAATCGATTGATTTTAGATTTTTCTTCTTCATTTCTAATTATAAATTTCAGAGATTATTAATCAATCTGATGATTCGATGGTGGTAATAATAAGTGTATCTCATCATTTTCTATGGTTCCAGAATAGGAAGATTAATCATCATTTGCATCATCACTATTGTAGATCTTATCATCTAATGAGATGAAATAAATACTTTTCATAAAGAATCAGTTAATTTATATTTATTTAGATTCAAATCCTTTGGTCACCAGAATTTGGGGTGATCAAAGAATCGGAATATTTCATGGTTCGAGTCAAAATCTTACAATAATTGTCTTTACGATAAATTAAAAAATAGAGATTAATCTTGATTAGATTATATTTCATCTTATTGTCAGTATTCAACACTGAAATCCGATCAAATTAAGTTTCAATTGTTTCCCTTAAACTTAAATCATGGAAAAATTTCCTCTTTGATTTTATGGATGATGATGATGATGGAATTGTCAATATGATTACATAGATTTCGAGTGGGAATGATGAGGATACAAATACGACTGAAAGATTCATACACATTCTCTGGGATGGAATTAAAGTTTAAAAATGATGCACAGATGAAACACTTTTTAATTAAAGCATTTTGATGAATAGTTTGAGGATGCGAACAATCAACTTTTAATTGTTGCACTAATTTGAATTGTTTGTGAGTTTTTTTCACCCATCCTGGTAAGAGATTAAGGCGATATTGGTGGGTTGAAATGTACAAAATAAGGTTAATCAATAATCAAATTATATCTAAATTAACTCTGTAAAGCACAGTGGTGAGGGAGTTTTGTGCTTGGACAAGCGGCTGATTTTTGTTTCAACATTTTGATTGTTGTAATCATGATATGATTAAGATGAATATGCTGGTGGTAATTTGTTATTGTTAATGGTGGCGGTGGTGGTGATGATAATGACGGTGGTGATAAAAATGATGGCTTGATATTAACGATTAACGGGAAAATAAAGTTACAATTCACCAGGGAAACAGTTGGCGGTAGGAACAATTTTCATGAATGAGATCAAATTAATCGCCAAGATTATGATAAATGTATGAAAATTTGAAGAGAGATAAGATCACGATGGTGAATAAAATTGGAATGAATAAGGCGATGTACAGAATTTTAGATGTGCGATTAGTTTACCAGGTCCAAAATTTAGATCGGTAAATGGGAATTGTGGTCATTATTTACAATTGAATTTGTATTTTATAAAGGAAGCACTGAGGTGGATGAACGTTTTCGCTTTAAACCAGATCGTCGATCATCTCGACGACGCTCTTTAAGACACTTGCTGATTGTTGTACGGACAGATTGTATTTCGATATAGCTTAATGGACCATATTTACCAATCACTCGAAAAGCGTGAGCTTGAATGGCTAAAAATCTACGATAACCAACACCAAGAGGTAAACCATTGGCCAATGATTCGATGAAACATTTAGCGGGTGGATATTCATCTTTGAGGGTATTGCCACTGAGAAGAGAATTTTTAACATAAATATCTGGTAAAACTCGACGGATCAGAACGGAGGCCACTTGAGTTGCGTGTTTAACATCTTCCTTCATAACAACATGTTGAATGTAAAGCGCCTTCTCAACAGGTATTAGACCTTCGAGAAGGATATAATCCTAAAAGAGAAACAAGAAAAAGTTTATCGGTTAATTATGAGAAATAATCTTTTGTTATTAATAAATAGAACCAATTGATTAGATTAACGAATTTGGTATTCGAGAAAGAGATTAGGTAATTACTTACAGATAATCTTGGATGATTTCGATTTTTCTCTTCGGGTGTTTCGCTACCAATGAACCAGCCGTCAATGTTTGAATTGAACCAAGAACCTGGAAGCATATTAACAAAATCATAATCTTCCTCATTTGGATCCATTGGTGAATCGTTGTCTCCATCAGTAAACTCGGGGCGATATTTACGATACTCGTAAATTGTTGCCAAATATTCTGATCTTTTTAAATTGTGCAAAATAATTCGTCCTTTGTTCATAACAATAGCAGCACATATACAAGGATCATTGGTCTCATTTGGTAAACAATCTAAGCCCATCTCTTCAAGGGTTACTTCAAATGAATCACTGTTACAAGCAGCGCTTCCATTCATTGGATGATCAGCATGATTGGTGCTTAAATCAAGCTCTTCACTTAAATCACATTCACCATTTAGATTTGAGTTTAAATCAACTGATGAATTACTGGTTGGAGATTTACCATTACGAGATGAAGGTAATAAATCATCTTGTGCTTGTTCATTACAAGATTCAGGTGATCCTGCTGGTTCTTCCATTGCTTCACCATTTTCACCATAAGATTTTCCTTCTGGGGATGAATCATGTTGACTGTTATTATTATTATTGTTACTTTTGTTGATTGATGCTTTAATTGTTATGATGGGTGTTATAGTTGGTGGTGTGATCATCGTTGATTTTGAGCTTTCTTTAGATGAATTAATCCGTCGAATGGCCAATTGTTTCTGTGTTTTATCCAGAGCGTTTTTGGTATCATTAAATCGTCTCATCATCTTTTGGATTCGTAAATTTGAACAATGTCTCTCTTCATCTAATTCTCTTCTACATTGATCGGCTTCTTCTTGAACGATAACTAATTGATTTTTAAGACTTTCAATGCATCTTCTTGCTTGAAGAAGATCAATTTCCAATCTAATCTTTTCTCTTCTCAATGTACAGAAAACTTTTTCAAATTGATTTTTAAATGTATCATTTGAATTGAAAAGTTTCTTCATGGCTTGAATTTCTTTGACAAACTTTTCACCGATTACTTCAACATTATTAAGAACACTGATAAAATCTCCACTGAAAGCATCATCATCAACTAAATTGTTAAAGTTATCACTTATCAAATTTGATGAGATTCTATTGTTGGTATCATTATTGTGTTCACCAGAGTATTGGCCAGGGTATTGGTCTTTTGGACTACTAGTGGTTGGATCAGTGGGTAGATCTTTGAAACCATAATCATCACCATATTTGAAAACTTCCCATTCTCGCAACGATTGGTCCAACAATGAAGAGTATTGGTCTGTTCTCATGGTTCCTGCTGAGTTAGGTGTTGCTTTACAATTATTATTATTATTATTGTTACTTATTTTACCCGTTGAAGGTCGAGCTTTAACCTTAGAAGATTCACCATTACTCTTCTTTTCGGTTGGCATGAGATGAACTTGAGATGTGAGATGATTAAGACGAAGAGCTTGGTGGTAAAGCTTTTCCACTTTGTCCGGAGAGAGACCAAAATTTTCCATGAGAGTGAAAAACAGGTTTTAACAACAAGGTACCTGTTTCCAAGCACATAAACCAATCCAAGCAAAAACACCCAAAAAACAGAAACTGTGTGTGTGTGTTTGTGTTGTGTAAGGGACTCAGTTAGAAGAGAAGATGAAGAGACAAGGATCGTCACTTTGTAAAAAGAAAAAGATATTCACCAGTAGAGATGAAAAAGAGGTAAATGAAGCACAAGATGTAGTAACTTTTTGTGAACAGGATGATGATGGTTGAGTAATCAGTTGGAATGGTGAGAGAGAGAGAGAGAGGGTAGAGAAGAGAAATGAAAGTACAGCAAAAAAGTTCCAGAAAATAATCAACGATGAATCCAAACAATCAAAAAATAAAATGAAGATTACACAGAGAGTGAGGGAGAATGGAGAGAACCCAATCAGATCAAAGTGTATGAAGATGAGGGTAAAAATAAGCGAATGAAGGTAGAGAGATTGACTTATCAAAACAGATGATAAAAGGTATTGTTCAGGAAAAAAAAGCAAAAATATCCACCGAGTGTGTTGTGTGTGTGAGAAAGATACAACCGATGAGGTAGGAAGATAGAGAGGGAGAGAAGGGAAGAGAGAGAGAGAGAGAGGAAGACACACTGAGGGTGAAAAAAAGCAAAAAAGAGAGATGGTCTTGGGAGAGGAAGAAAAGGAAGATGAAGAGGGTAAATAGGATAGGCGAAAATATCGAAAAGGCAAAAGAAAAAAGCAAAAGAGATAACCAAAAGATTCTGTAGTTTGTTGGGCAGTTAAAAGGTCTTATTCCCCTTATCTCTCTTCCTTTAAAACCAAGGAGGAGACAGAAAGAAAGATTATGGTGGTGGTGGAAGTGGTTATGTTGATGATGATGATGATTATGATGATGGTAATGGTGGTGGTGGTGATGATGATGGTGGTGGTGGTGGAGAAAAAGTTGAGAGGATGGAAGACAAGAATAACATCGAAAAGGGAACCCAGAAGAGAACTTCAAAGACAATAAGGAAGAAGAGTTAACCCAATGGAATTGTGATAATCGCCCGTAGATTATTTATATTTAGAAATCACAGAAAATAACAATTGAAATTATAACCAATAAATAGAAGAAAAAAAAATCAAATCAAACAAAACTTGAGAAAAACAAACAAACAAAAACTAATGTTCCATTGAAGATAAAGAGATGAAGAGAAATGAACTGAGCGATAAAAGAAAAGAGTTTGAGTTTCTCTTTTAGAAAACTAGATGACACTAGTGAGCTTTTCTTTTTTAATTTTCGCAATTAAAACTTTTCATTTAAAAGATTTAATTGTTTACTCGTATTCTTTTTGTTTTGTGTTCAAATTGATTCTCGAATTATTTATTCATGGATTAGACTCATTATTTATGTGTTGAGAGAAAAACTCTGCCTTTGACTCTCTTGATCTCTTGTTGTGACGATTGTCATTCTATTGTTTATTTGTTACATTTTTCTAAGTTTTAATTCTTGGTTAATCTGTTGAGATGAATTATAATTATTATTGAGATTGGAATGATATTTTATTTCCTAGAATTGGTGATACTTTGATGGGATTTTATATATAATCTTTAGCCATCGAACGAGGTTCTGATTCTTAATTCTCTGGATGTTTCGTTGAAATCAAATTGTTGAGAAAAAAGTGAAAAGTGTTTCTTATGATTGAACTTGTTTTCTATTCCAAAATCTTTACATTTAGTCAACTAGACTTTTCCTTTTAATTATTTTCTATGTTCCAATTCTTGATAGACTATTAATTGACATTTCCTCGGGTAAAACCAGTGATAAATCATCTACGAGATTCCAAAATATTGTCCAGTATGTTTATCCTTGATTTGGTAAACTTTTTAAGTTTATGAGAGTAATTTGATCTTTTTAATAGAAAATATAATTTCCTTGAATGATTCAAGATTGAGATGTGATTCCCTCATTCAGATCATAAGTTAGAGGCTAATTATTACTGGTCATCGTGGTGTTCAGGGTGAGCTAAGAGGCGATGGTTCCCCTGGTCTATTCTGGATTCTGGTTGCAAGAACCAAAGACATTGAAGGTTGAGAGAGATTCGGAATAGTGAATTGATGGATAATCATCAAGTTGAAGGATGAATTTGAAACAAGTTCTAATTAACTTCGGCACAAAGTTACCAGTTCTTCCTCAAGTGAAAGATCAGTTTTACTTACAATCGTAACCATCGCCTAAGAAAAAGGTAAACATGTTTTCTCACTTAAAGATAACAAGTTAATTATTCTCAACAGTTTAACCTTTTATTTCAATGAGACTTTCACTTACCTGTTGTGAAGATGGTTAATCAGAGAAATTAATTATCTCTTTAAATACGATTACTTGATTATCCCTTTGAGGGATTTTGTCTCTGACCTCACGTATTAGAATCAAAGGAAGAGAAACAAATGAAAAGGGTTAACAAACTTTTTTTCTTCTTCTATTCTTTTCGATAATCAAAGTTCACCGACTTGATGTTAATTTCTTTAATTGTTGGAACAAAATTACTCCTTTGTCCTTGTGTTTTCGAGCTTAATTTTGTCGAATTTTGTTTACCTTTCCAGCAAAAAACGCGAAAATATTTTTGCTAATCAACTGTTATTTGTTTTTTAATGGATTGATGGATTAGAACTAAATCAGATTAAATTCCGAATACTTAAAGTAAATTTGCATTGATTGTCTCTTTTTATTTAATTGAATACAATTTATGAGTACGTGATGAACGTAATTTGTTCTTGGATTGGGTGGAGTGGGAAAGAGATCGATTAATATTAATGAGAAATGTGCATCTTATAATAATGGAGAGGTAATTTGATGAAGAGATATGAGTGAAAAATTGTTTTCACCTGATTGGTTTATAGTTTGATGAATTAGTACATTGGGTAAGCGGCGAGTCCAGGGGATGAATGGAAACCGTTTGGTGTTCGAAGTAAAGTTGTCGCTGGTCGACGGCCATAAGTAAGTGGTACATCGTAACGCTGTTGAGGTGTTTGGGCTAATTGGGGTTGATAAGCCTGAGGTTCTTGTGGATATTGTTGTTGAAGTTGAGGTGCTTGTTGATATTGAGGTTGTTGTTGTTGTTGTTGTTGTTGGGGTTGATAGTAAGGTCGACGAGCAGTTGGTGATCGGAGAACTGGGGCTTGTGGAACAGATCCTTGGGGAATTGATGATTGAGGAATTGGTGCTGATGGAAAAGGTGATTGAGGGCCAAGTGAGTCCTCTGAATCATCTGATGAATCGTAACCTAAAGCTGGTTGTGTTGGACCATCGAAATTATCAGATTGATCATCGGAGTCAAAATCTTGAGGTTGAGGTGGTTGAGGTGCTGATGGAGCTTGTGGTTCTTGTGGAACTGGAGGAACCTCCGGTTTTTGTACCTTCACTTGTTGTTCAACGGGCTTTTGAAAGACTGGTCTCTGTGGCTGGTAGCCTTTCATTGGCTCGTAACTCTTAACGGGATCTTGATAAGGTTTAACTGGTTCGAAGCCTTTCGCTGGTTCCTGAGTTTTACCATAATTACCATTATCGTAAGGTGTTTGTCTAACGGGTTTACCATCGTTTACTGGATAAGCAACAGCTCGACGACTTGGTGGTAAGTAAAAGTTTCTATTACCTAAGAAAGTAAACAATTTGATTAGTCTTCAGTTTAACAAAGTCGAATGTGATGAATTACAAGAAAATCACAATTTACCTGTAGGAGGCTTAATTCCTTTGACATCGTAAGCAGAGACACAAGCGACCAAAGCAGCAAGAACAAGGAAAAGCTTCATCTAAATACAAATGAACGGAAACAAAATCAAGAAAAATCACCAAACAATTAGTAACAATCAAAAGAATAGAAAAGAAAAGAAAATGAAGACTTACTTTCAATAGATAAACGTTGGTGAAGGAAACCGAAAAGTAACTTGGATGTTTCAAGAATTAGAAATGATACTCTGTTCCATCGGTCGGACCGTATTTATAGAAGGTCAGGAAGGTGTTTCGTTCCATGATGAAGACAACATGGTAACCAGAATAGGGGAAGAGGCGAAGGTTCCATGAGCCAACCCTGAACTTTAATTTCTAAGGAGCAAAGAAACAGAGAGTAGTAAATGAAATAGAAAGTGAAAAAGAGAGCGAGAGAAAAAAAGAAAGAAAAAAAGTTAATGATGGATAATAACAAGATAAAGTCTAAGGATCAATTGAAAACAAGTTTAACTTTAATTACCATCGGAAGAGAAATAAATTGTTACTAATTTAAGGTAACCATTAATTTCTGACGCCAAAATATGATCCATTTAATGACAGAACCTGAAGTTGGGACAAAGGAGAAGAACAACAAAATGACATGAGAATTACTCTAATTACTACGGAAGAAATTAAGATAATTGCCATTAGCTAATGATGAGAGAATTAAATTAAAACCGTTAACCTTACGGATCCAATGGAAGAAGAAAATTAAAAACAAAAGAAAACAAAAAGAAAACAACTTATCAGCTGTGAACCTTTGGAAGAGAAAAACACTTAAAGGGTTAAACATGTTCTCTCACCTTAGATAACAAGTTAATTATTCTTCAATGAGACTTTCACTTACCTGTTGTGAAGATGATTAATCAGTATGAAGAAAGAATTAGAGAAATTAATTATCTCATTAAATACGATTACTTGATTATCCCTTTGAGGGATTTTGTCTCTGACCTCACGTATTAGAAACAAATGAAAAGGGTTAACAAACTTTTTCTTCTTCTTCTCTTTTTGACAATCAAAGTTCACCGACTTGTTTTTAATTGATTGGAAATTGAAAGTAATTTATTTGATACTTTTTTTCGATCAAATTAAAGAAAAAATTACTTTCGATTCGAGTTTTTTTCGTTACTTTAAAGTTCGCGCGCTTAAAAAAAAGAATTTCAAAAAATCATATGGACAAAGAAAGAGAAAAAGACAGAGAAGAAAATCACTAGCGACACAATCGTTATTGTCGCCAACTATTCACTAATTGTTATCGTAACAATTTATTTTTGTTGTTGTAATTATTTATTTATCTATTGTAATGTAATTCAGTTTGTTTTTTAAATGACACATTTACTGTCGCTAATTGTTGTTCCCCGTTGATTAGGCTTATGTCTTGCTAAATCAATTATATTTATACACTTAAATCAATTCTTATTTTAATTTTCTCTCTTCTCTTTTTTGTTATTTTTTTTTTCTTTTCTCTATTTGTTGTTATCCAATGCGAACTATCAATTTATTTACCTTTTATTTTATTCCATCTTGTTCTTGTTTCCATTCCGTATGTTGAAGTAACGTTTTGTTTTATTTTAACATATTTTCTCTGATCAAGATGATTTCTGCTTTATTGGTGATAAAATATTCTTGATTGTCTTTTCTCTTTACTTTATCTTTATATCAACCATTTTGGTGAATCAATTTTTTTTCCTCTCAATCCAATCAATTTTTATACACCCAACCCTCTCGTGTTTTTATCATGACCCATTGAAGATAATTGCATTTGTTTTAAAAGATACTTTCTTAGAGAGCCAGAGATAAGAAATGGAAGCAAATATCACTGAAGAAAACCGAGCTCTCATATGGAAGGTGAGTTGATATTTATGCTCTTTTCTCTCTCTCTCTTCTTCTTCATTTAGATCAGATTATGTTTGATGGTTTGTAATTGTCAGTCGATTGACTGAATGTCATTTTGTCCTTTTAATTGGTCTTCTTATTATTTTGATCTAATTCTAATCTTTTCTTATATTCTCTTTCTCTCTTATAGTCTTATCTTGGTTTAAAGGATAAGAAGCCTAATTTAAAGGAGTTTTTCGGTCTCGAGGAACAATCAGCAATCAGAGAAGACTGTGTTAAATTAGTTGAAGCCTTGGGTAATCCGGAAGACGATAGACTTGCAATAACTAGTGAATTGGAAACAGTTTTAACAACTTATGCTGAAACTTGTGGGGTTAAATATTTTACTGACAATGGATGGCTTGAGATACTACAACCTTTGCTGGCTTTAAAGGTTGACCGAGATGATTTGTACAATTTATTTGAAATTATTCACCGAAAATTCATTCCAAATGTTTTCACTTATTCTTCCTCACCTGATCAGGAAGAATCTCATTCTCTCAATGATCAACCTTTCCACCTTTTGAGATTATTATTATTCTATCATGATCCAGAGCTGTGCTCTTTTCTAGACACCAAAAAGATCAATCCAGATTCGTATGCCCTTTCATGGGTAAGTTTTCCATCTAATTTAATCTCCTCTCCTAAATCGCATCTAAACTAAACTAATTTCTTTTCATTTTCCACAGTTTCGAAGTCTATTTGCAGCCCATGTCAACATTAAAGCTCTTTTAGCCTTATGGGATGCATACCTTCAATCATCTAATCCATTTCTAATATTTTTCTTATCATTAGTTATGCTAGTCAATGCAAAGTAAGTTACCAATAATTAACTCACTTTCCAAAGTCAAATCTTGCCCATCAATTGTATTACAAGATAATTAATTTCCTTTTCTCACATTTCCTTTCACAGAGAAGAGATAATGAACATGAAAGATCAATCAAGAGAGGCGGTTATTAAGACATTAAATAGTGTGCCAAGTGCCCTCGGAGTAGATGATATATCTGATCTCTTTTATCTGGTTGAAACACATTATGTATCACAGACACCAAGATGTATCAATGTGAGTAATTGAGATTATTCAGATTACTTGAAATTCATTGGATATTATACTCTTGACTAATACTAATGTATAACAATTTTCCCTTCAACAGGAATTACATAAATTAATTTTCAATTATGACACTGGAATTGAATCTACCAAAGAGTTGACTGATATTGCTCAGGCTTTATGTTTACCTATTCCTGTATCACATCTAATACCTTCATCAAATAGTTCGGGTGTTAGATTTTTCATCGTTGATTGTAGACCAGCCGAGCAATATAATAATGGACATTTATCAACTGCTTTTCATCTTGATTGTAGCTTGGTAATTTAAATCTTCACTATTTTCACTCTTTTTGTTAGCTAATAATATAGTTTATCAGATAGATATTATCATCTCTCTCTCTCTCTCTCTCACTCTTTCTGGTGATAAAATTTCAATATAATCCTATTTTTATCATTTCTATTTGAATTTCCAGATGCTTCAAGAACCTTCAGCTTTCAATACTGCAGTTCAAGCTCTATTAGCTGCTCAAAAACAGGCTATTCTGGCTGGATCATTAGCTGGTGGTAAACACCTTTGTTTCATGGGAAGTGGACGTGATGAGGAAGATCGATATGTTCACATGGTTGTCGCTTCTTTCTTACAGAAGCATCATCTTTATGTTAGCTTGACATTTGGTGGTTATGCTGCTCTTCATCAATATGTTATGAATAAAAAATGCCTGGATAAATATTTTACCGATCATAACAAGAAAATTTGCCTTGCATGTCGTAATCCTCAAAGTTTCGTTACCTCAAATTCACCGATGGGCTCACGAAGTTTATCATCAAGTAATTCTTCTCTCCTTGGGAACGTTGACGGTGAAAATTCTTCCAATACATCAATTTTCGATCGAATGGCATCAGTGATGAAAATTCGAGCTGCTGGAGTTAAAGAAAAGCTTGTCGATTATATTATCAATCCAAATGCTGGCGATGATCGTCATGTTAGTTCCAGTGATCGACTTGGTAGAAGATACACCGGAGGATCGAATATTTTCAGTATATTCGACGTTGACAACGGAGGTCAGTCTAAATTTTACTCTCTCAAATACTTCTTAACAATTGACATAAATTTTCTCATTATTTAATTGAATCTCTCTTGTAAAATTCTAGATGGTTTAGCTTCTAGTGAATCGGAAGATTTTGAATTCGACATTGAAGATTGGTGCAAAACTAATAATGCCTTGAATTGCTTCAAATGTGAAGAATTGGCCAATGATAACAAAAGATATTCAAGGTAATTAAATTGACTTTTATTCGCTAAATTAGAATCAGATTATTTCAACATTGTATTTTCTTTGAAAATATTGATTCAAGGCTGAAGAAAAAAGATCTCGTTCTGATTTTCCTTATCCCTTTCTCTTTCTCTTTCATCATTTTTTAATTTTCACTTTCTTATTTAGTTATTTAATCCTAACGGAAACCCATTTATACATCGTACGTGCAATACCTCATAACAAAGGATTTGGTAAAATTGTAGCTAAAAGACCATTGGAAATGATAGTGCAAATCACTAGTAGGCGACGACTTCCCAATCTAATTACAATCAAATATGGTCAAGCCAACGATGAATCAACTAGTGAACCAACAATCATGGCTCTTGACAGGCTGAATATTCCTGAACCATATCCTGTCACCCGACTTGTCAAACAACAAGTAATCAAAGTTTTACATGGTGAAGTTGAAAATCATGAACCAACCGATGAGGAGAGTAAAAGTTCTGACCAGTGAAATCTATTTCTCACAACTTTATTTTTCTCTTTCCCTCAACAAAATCAATTATATATTCTGTCTCTAAATCAATTATCTATCGAAAATATGAGATATCAAATAATTAAAATTCTTATCAATTCTTCTTATAATTTTACCTGATCCATTTTTCAAAGATGATGAAATTTTGACTACATATTTTACTGACAAATTATAAAAAGTATTAGTATATATTAATTTTATTAGAATAAGTCATTTGTTTATTTATGTTGTAAACTGTACATTTCTTTGAGAGTTGACGGAATCAAGAACAAATTGACAGTGGGAAAAAAAGTATTGATCATCATACATATTGATGAAGTCAATGAGAGAAGAGAGGAAGAGAGAAAGAGAGAGAGGAAGAAACTGGGTGAGATTGAGAGAGGTAAAGAGAAATAAAGAAATGAATAAAAAGTAAATAACTTGACTTGTTGATCTTTGATGTTGATGGAATCATTGTCGTTGTCAATTTTGTTTTGCAGCTAAAAAGTTGAACAAATTGATGGATTAAGAGTAAATAATAAGTAATCGGGTGAGAAGAAGAGAAAAATGGAACAGATTAGAAAAGTTTATGTGATGACATCGTCGTTGATCTTTCGCTTCTCCATCAAATGTGTTAACATAATATCAATTCCTGAGATATTTTTCATGGTTATCTTTAAATCTCGGTGTAAACGAGTCTTCTCATCTTGGGTTAAAGCTCCATTTGAAGTTCTCCAATCTAAAACAGCAATGGCCTTACTCTCATCAATTAAAGAACCACCACCATCATCTTCATTAGATTGATCCAGTTTCAATTTTTTCTTTTGTCTATTCTCATCACTATTGTTTGTTTCTCTTTCAATAACAAACAGCTTTTCCGAGTCTTTAAGTAACTTATCCCATTTCAAGTATTTCAGTAACAAATTGGACAAAAAGTTATAAAGAAATTCTTTCGTTGAAGGTAATCCTTTCTTTCTATCTTTGATTCCACCAGTGGTACTCTCATTTTCCATGATTATAATTTATCAAAGAAAAAAGAAAATAAAATAACACTTGAAAAATGTAGAGAAAAGAAAAAAAGAAACAAACAAAAGTATAAAAGAACAAGAGAAAAAGCCAATAAGGAGATTCCAATTGGAAAGAATAGAAAATAGATTAAAATCGATTTATATTATTTACTAATAACCAACACTTTCACTGAACAATCATTAAGATGAAGTAGCAACAACTAATTATCTAATTGTCATAAAAAAAAATCAAACCAAATTAAAGAAACAAATTAATTAGGTAAACACAAAGGTAAACACAATTAGTCAGTTGCAGTTGAACATTTAAACTGGCGCCATCTTAGAGTTTCCCCTTTTCCCGCCAATAGAATGAAAGCCCAACGTTCTTTTCTCCGCCCGCAGATGGAGCCACTTTCTGTTCGCTGCCATCTACTGACTGGAATTGGAACAAAACAAGTAAACAAAGTGGTGGTCATGCCAATGTTTAAATGTTTCCTCATCTTAATTACATTTAATTAGTTAATTAGTTACTTGGAATTTTGTCAATTGTTTCAATTTTTTCCATCTTTTCTAATCTTGTTAATTGTTATTATTTTGAGTAATTAATTCTTTTCACGAAAAGTATGGATGATCTTAGTTTAGCGAAGCAAAATCTTTTCGATTGTCTTGGTTCCAATTTTAAATGGTTTGTATATGTTTATTATCCTTCATCTTTTTTTTTATTGTTCTGATTTATTTTATTCTGTTTGTGGAATATTAAATAACTACAATTTCTTTTCTTTTCCTTTTTCGTGTCGATTTTTCTCTCTACTAATTTGTTTTCCTTTTTTTTTCTATGTAAATTTGGGGTTTTTCTAATCTTTTTGTGCTTTTGATTCATCTCATTTTTTTTGTTACGATCCATTTAAATTTCTCTCTCAAGTTACCTAAGTCTTTTGAGATCTTGGTTCCGGAATAATATAAGCAAAGATGAATTTGACTTTGAAGCTCGAAAACTTTTCAATAATTCTAATATTTCCAAGCATAATGCATTCCTTTTGGCTTTATTTAGTCGATGTCAAGATCTTTCATCTCTTGAAAGTCAATCTGGTAAGTTTTACGATTTTATCCTTTTTTTTACTGTTCCATGATATTAGTGAATTAATCCGACGATTTCATTGTTTCTTGTGTCTCTCTTTTTTTGCTTATTCAGATCGTAAAACAAAACTAGATGAAAACGATAGAAGTGCTAAAAATCGACCATTAAAAAAGTCTCGACCCAATTTTAAGATTAGTTATGATAAACGATTTGTACCAATTGATCCTTCTCTTTACTCACCGGTTCCGACAAAAAAGTCACGTAAACATGAAGCCGAAAGACGAGAAGTGTTATCAAAAGTAGCATTCAGTTTATCTGAAGGATCTTTACCAGATCATTTTATGGCCAATTTAAGGATGCTCGTTATTGTCTGGGAATCTGGTTTAGACAATTTATCCAATGATGCAGTTTCCATGTTAAATTTAGCTCTGAGAGATTTCATTAAAAACATTCTAATGTACGTGTTAACCTTTAAATCATCTTTCCGCAGTTATGATAAAGGACAAGTACGATACTCTGTTGGTGCACCAATGATCAATCCATATCTGAAAAACTCTCATACCCTTTGTAAATATCCTCAAGATATTCATTCATCAATTGTTAATAATTCAGGTGATCAAATACCCGCTATCTTACCAACCAGTGAAACCGCTGAACATGATGCTATCTTTCAAATAGCCTGTTCCAAATTACCCACCGAGGATTATGAGACATCTAATTGTGACTCAGGTCTAATCAATTTATGGCAAGTTTTTCACGCCCTTCGATTACATAAATCAGCAATACCCTCACACTCGGTGTACACAATAAACATGGAAAAGATAATCACTCGCCTATCTCACCCAACCTCTTCAACTGAAGATTATTGATTCGAAACATAATCGTTACTTCATCACCATCACCATCACCATCATCATCATCATCATCATCATCATTTATTGTTTTCTTGTTAAATTCTGCATCCTAAATATACATCTCACGTTTATTGTATTTACACCTCAACCCAAATTCACCATGAAAAGTCAATCAGACATCAAGCATAATAACGATGAAGAGTAACACAAAACTCATTTAGAAAATCAATTTGGACATCATCTCATCTAATGTAAGTGAACAATTAAAACTAAACAAAAAGTGTAATATTTTTACAATTTAAATAATGTAAATTATATCCAACCTAACCAATAAGATGTAATAAAAAATTAGCCTGAATGGTAAAGAAGTTACTATTAATATGAATAAATTACTACATGTTAACCAAAAACAACTAACCTAATCAATCAATTGATTAAAAAAAAACTTATTCTATAAAAAAAAACTAACTGAATCAATAATAATCCTTTGAAAGTTGCTAATGAAAATTGTCAACTTTCAATCCTCGAATCCATTAACCATTAAAGTCAAGGAGACGGAAACAATCAACTAACTAGTGAAAAAAAAGAGATAATCAACTAATATGATGATGAAGTGACAGTAATGATTAAGAGAAATAAGGACGAGAACCAAAAGAATAGGGAAAATGCCCTCAGAATAAAAATGACGAAAACACAACTTTTCTGACAGAACAAAATACGCTGAATTCGGAAATGTTAATAATTTTTTTTTGCGACAGTCCAATTCTACACAATTACGATTTTAAGAGTTAGAAAAAGTTTTAGCCATATCTCGACAACTATGCATACAACCAAGTTGAAAATCATTTTTTATACTCAATTCTATATGATAAATATGAATATGAACTTGGTTTGTTTCGATCGATTGACTAAAGTGGACTTTTACTCAGGCCACATTTACGATCTAAAATATCTCAACAATAAAAAATACAACCAAGCTGAAAATCATTTTTGGTACTCAATTTAGTATGGTCTACTACAATCTGAAGTTCGTTTGTTTAGATCGATTGACTAAAGTGGACTTTTACACAGGCCACATTTACGATCGAAAATATCTCAACAATAAAAGATACAACCAAGCTGAAAATCATTTTTCTAACTAAATTCTATATGATAAATAACAATATGAACTTGGTCTGTTTCGATCGATTGACTAACATCGACTTTTTGACAGGCCATATTTACGATCTGAAATATCTCGACAACTAAGAATACAACCAAGCTGAAAATGATTTTTGGTACTCAATTTACGTTGTTCTTCAATATGTCGTCTTTAAATATTTTCCATCGATTGACTAAAGTGGACTTTTACACAGGCCACATTTACGAAATTAAATTTCTCGTGAATTCAAGATCTAAACAGGCTGAAAACTATTTTTCAAGAATTTTTTTTAATGCTGAGCGATTATTTCAAGCTATTTCGCCTACATTGCACAAAAAAGGTTCTAGAGTTTGCAGACATCATGAGCTTGCAAAACATTCTGTTTGACAATTATTTCAGGCAAAATAGCTTGAAATAATCGCTCAGCATTAAAAAAGTTCTTGAAAAATAGTTTTCAGCCTGTTTAGATCTTGAATTCACGAGAAATTTAATTTCGTAAATGTGGCCTGTGTAAAAGTCCACTTTAGTCAATCGATCGAAAATATTTAAAGACGACATATTGAAGAACAACGTAAATTGAGTACCAAAAATCATTTTCAGCTTGGTTGTATTCTTAGTTGTCGAGATATTTCAGATCGTAAATATGGCCTGTCAAAAAGTCGATGTTAGTCAATCGATCGAAACAGACCAAGTTCATATTGTTATTTATCATATAGAATTTAGTTAGAAAAATGATTTTCAGCTTGGTTGTATCTTTTATTGTTGAGATATTTTCGATCGTAAATGTGGCCTGTGTAAAAGTCCACTTTAGTCAATCGATCGAAAATATTTAAAGACGACATATTGAAGAACAACGTAAATTGAGTACCAAAAATCATTTTCAGCTTGGTTGTATTCTTAGTTGTCGAGATATTTCAGATCGTAAATATGGCCTGTCAAAAAGTCGATGTTAGTCAATCGATCGAAACAGACCAAGTTCATATTGTTATTTATCATATAGAATTTAGTTAGAAAAATGATTTTCAGCTTGGTTGTATCTTTTATTGTTGAGATATTTTCGATCGTAAATGTGACCTGTGTAAAAGTCCACTTTAGTCAATCGATCTAAACAAACGAACTTCAGATTGTAGTAGACCATACTAAATTGAGTACCAAAAATGATTTTCAGCTTGGTTGTATTTTTTATTGTTGAGACATTTAAGATCGTAAAAGTGGCCTGTCAAAAAGTCGATGTTAGTCAATCGATATTGAAAAACCAAGTTCATATTTATATTTTTCATATAAAATACAGTTTGAAAAATGATTTTTAGCTTGCGTACCGATATTATGCAATTACTACTTCACAGGAATGATTTATGCACTTTCGAGCTAAGTTCAATCACCGTCCAAAAGACAAAATCTGATAGTTTCACTGTGTTCCTCACCTATTATTACCTTATAAAAACTTCTCCGAAAAAAATTATTTTTTGAGGCCTTTTTGGTTCTCGTCCTTAACTAATCCAAAATAATTGATATCATCTCATTGTAATCAAATATTGATTATGATTATTGTTGGTGAAGCCTTTTCAAACTGATATATCAGATTACCAGTAACCATAGTTAATATTAATTACTAGTTACAAATAATTGATAACCAATCAAGAGGAACCACAAAGTAAATTGATTGTTAATGGCAACAATTGATTGCTACAATTAACCAATCTACTCACCGCAGATCTTTAAACTTGACAAGATGAAGTTATATAAATTATTCAATTTTTCATCAATGACTTTCGACAATTATATTGTTAATATTCAAACAATTATGATAAAGAAACATTTACGTTAACCATCATCCGAATTAACCAACGAAATAATATAATAATCATCATGATAATCAGAATGATAATCAAGGATAAGAATAAAGGAAGAGAGAGAGAGAGAGAGAGAGAGAATAGTAAAAAATGAAGACAAAGAAGAGAGTTACATTTGCATAAACTGTTCTATTCGATAACAATAATATGTTCCCATGATAATCAGAATCAAATGATGAAGATAAGAAAGATGATAGAAAAAAAGAAAAAAGAAAATAGGTAAATGGATGATAAGTGAAGAAGAAAATGAAAGAGGAGAAAAAGTAGAAATTCTCTCACTAGAATATTATACTCTGGAAATCGTTGAGATCGAAATTCTGAAAGAAAGAGCATGTTCCATGGGCGATTATCTTCATCATGAAGATGAGGATGCGGAAGATGAGTGAGTAATAATTTCACTTTCTATGAGTTTCTCAAAGTAACAGGTAAACATTTCAACTGAAAACGTTCAAGAATCAAGTTGAAACTTATCAACAATCAGAATGAAACATTTTCCAACTTTTTTTGTTATTCAATTAGAAAAATGAATCTACAATAAATATCAAAGAAAACTGATTAATAATTGTTACAATGTTTTCCTGATTGATATGAAATAACAATATGATTAGTTGATTGTTTTGTGTTCTCCTAATGGTTTAATTTTGTGCCATTCGTTTTCAATTTCAATCCTTTTGTTAATCATCTTGTTGATTGTGTTGTTTATATAATTATTGTTTACCTTCAACTTGATTTAATCAACCAATTAGTGTGATTGAATCATCTAATTTTACCCTTGGAATTAAATTGTGATTAAAACTGTTTTAAACAACAATGTTTAATAATTATATTCATCATCATTGTAATCAGTTTGCTACAATTGTTTACATTTTACAAGCAATTAAGTTAATCATTTCTCCGATGGTTACTGTTTATGCAAAAGAAGTAGAGTAAGTATATTTACAATTAGAGATATAAACCAACAATCAAATTTGGAGATAATTAAGAAACTAATCCACCAATGTTTAACTGATTGAACATTTTATTCCCCCAAACAATCAACCGTTAATTGTAACAATCAAGTGGAAGTAAATTGTTGAATATGAAAAACATATTACCTCCTTCATATGATAATCTTCAACCACCAAAGGAAAATGGTAAGTTTAATATGAACACAATTAAAGGAACAATTTAACTTAAATTGTCTTGGAAAAAATTACAATTTCTCTCTCTCTCTCTTTCTCTCTGAACAAATTATGATTTACAATCAAACAGAATCTAAATTAACTTATAATGTAACAAGTTAATCAACATTCAGTGATTAACTTAATTCAGTTAACTAGGAAAAAAAATTGTTTACCTTAACCTTTTTTATAACATGGAAGGGAAAAAAACTTTGTTGATTGTTACTGTTAAAGTTAATCAATTTTAATCATGTTTACTGATTAAAATTGATGATAATGATGATTAGTTTATCTCAGGGTGTGTTGAAAGTTAATTGGATTAACTGACTAATGATTTTTTCTTCACGTTAATTAATCAGTTGGAAAGAATAGGAAAAAGGAAAAAGTTGTAATTCTGATAAAATCGAAGACGCAGATTTAATATAAGCTAATATTTTATTTCTCGAGTTAATCTGATCCAGATTAGAACTTAAATGAATCAAAATGATGATCGGAAAGAAGATGAAGATGATGATGAAATTGTTTTCATGATGAAAAGTCACAAATCATCATGAAAACCATGAAGATAAAAGTAATTGTTAAGAAAAAAGAAAAAGAAAAAAATGAATCAAAAGGTTGATAAGATTCATCACTTTCTTTTTTTTTATCTTCTCTTTGTCATCCTCATCATCTTAATCTTCATGAAGATGATTAAATATGTGTGGTAACATTAATGAATCTCAAGTTCTACTGAACTTTTTTCTCAGCGGTCGAATCAGAATTAGAACTTGAAATTGGACGAAAAACACAATTCGAGGAATCAACAATTCTCATAAATAATAAATTTACTTTCCTTTGTTGAACAATCAAGACAATTAATCAACAATCATCATCTATTATCATTAATTATCATTAATCAACTAATCACTTTAATGATTATCTCATGAAAGTTAAACCATTAATCTGATAAGTTTGAATTTGCTTCCCAGTCAACAGAAGAAAAATTTTTGAGAGCAAAAAACAGTAAATTGAGTCAAAATTGAATCAAAAATTTTTTTGAATGTTAATTGATTTGTTTTTGACTCCAAATTGAGTCAAAATTTTGAATGAAAATATTGGATTGAGTCAAAATATAGTCTAAATGTTGATTTTTATTCAATTGATTGAAATTGGGACTCGATCGAGAAAATTTGTTAGTGAAAAGAATCTTTGTAACAGATTTTTGGTATAAATTTTGAGCATGATAATATTGATTTGATTAACAATTCGTTGATTAGAGATCTTGAAGATTAGATTCTTGTAAAATTTGATATAAATATAAAAATGGATGAGAATCAAATTGATTTACATGAAATTGAAGAATATGTATATGAATCATTTAGAAACTGATATAAAAATATTGTAAATTTTTGGCTTGTATCACTTTGGCTTTGAGAACAATGATGGAAAGAATTCTATTCTAATTTTTTCCTTTATGTGGAATAAATTCATTCTTCATCAATAATCATCTTTTCGATTTCTTGTTGAAGTTCTTGGTCATAAGAATCTTCTCTCTCATTATCCAAATCCATTGGCTCTTCCTTTCCATATTCATTGTCATCTTTTTCCTCTATTTCCATTGAGAAATGATCATTTTCCGCATAAGCTTTTTGATCCATCATCGAGAGAGAATCATGTTGAGTTAAATTTTCGGATCCACTCAAATTGAGAGAAAGATCTTCTCTTTCCAACGGGTTACAGCAAATTTCACATGAAGAATAATTTTCACAATAAATAGAAACTTGTTGATCTTCAATGATAGAGAAATCACATTTAAAGCTGAATGAGACACCGTTGTAAATTTGAAAAAAAGCCATTGAAATTTCCATGTTGAATTGAGTCGTTTTAAGGAAAATTGATCACAAAAAATTAAGCCAAAGAATAAATTCGAATTGAATATCACTAGATTCACTGATTGTTGAAGATAATTTTGTATTAAAACTGATTAAAATTGTTGATTAATTAAATGAAATTAATTTGTTGAAAATGAAGAGAAAAAATTTTACGTAGAAAAAAATGAACGGGATTAAACGCTAATTTGGCGTCTGAACAAACAGCTGGAACGAATTTAGCTTTTTCTTTTTTGTTCTTCTCATCATGAAAAAGTGATCAGCTATTATGTAGAATATGTTCAACTACGAAATTTTTCGAGTATCTGTAATCAAAGATCTGGCTTTCGATGAAAATACTTTTGTGACCAATATCATCGATGCTGAAGATTTTCCAACCATTTTCGATGCCATTTACTTCGTGAATATGATCGAATTTGAGGAAAATTTCACCAGTAGTACCTCTGAATTTGTGTTTGATTGGAGCTGATTTAAAGATATTTCCCATTATGAAGATCTTGTTCAAAAGCTCAAAAATTGTATCAATTCGAAAGAACTTTTTATTTTTCAATCGAACAACAGAATCATCTCTTGTTTTGTTGTGGCAATAACTTTTTGTAGAATATCTTATCGAATTGACACATATACTCTTATAATATTTCGTGTGTTGCAGGTGAGCGAAAATATTCAAAGGAAAAGCGTAACAACATTCCTCGTGAATTACGTTTTGTTTTGATGTGTTTCTATGTAACTCGTCATCCTTCAATCGGGTTATAATTGGACGTGAATCGTCTTCATTTGTAGTTTCAAAGAGTTGACGTTCTTTCGATGATAAGTTCCATTGATTGACTGTTGTTTGAACATATTCTCGATATCGAAAATCATTCAAAAAAACACGAACAACAGCTTGAGCCACATTAGATGTCCGTCTCACTTTTTCTTTTATTACTCCCATTTGGTTCTCAAGAGGATAAGCAGAGATGCTGGTAAATGGACCGAGAGAGTCAACTGATTGTGGTAAATGTGAGAGGATATGCAAGTTGTAGGATTTTAATCCTTCTTTGTAAATAGTAGAAACACCTTCTTGAAATTCTTTGACAAGATTATCAATCTCGGTAACTTTATCACTAGAAATCGATTCGAGATTGAGAATTGAGTAAATTCTAGATAAGGTTATTATATTGTTGGTAGCTTTTGCACTGAGAAGTCCTCTGATGGTTGGGATGAGGTAATAAGCCAAAAAGCTATCATACTCTGATGATTTCCAGTACTTTATTTGATTAAAGTCTCTTGGTGGTCTTGACAATTCCGAAGGCACTTTGATTGATTTTAATCGTTCCCCTAATCTTGTTCGAAATGCTGTTCTATCAATACGGTTGTTTAGAACATTGGGAATCTCATTTTTTATCCATCCTTTGAAGATAATTGATCGAAATATTCCAAGCACTATACAGTGCATGGGTTCAACCGCGAATCCTTTCACTATATCGAAATCTTTCAACTTCAAAAGAGGAGAAACACCTGATAATCCAAGAAAGCGGTTGACATTAGCTCTGCTTCCGGGGTTATTTAGATACTCTTCAAAGTTGATGAAATCTTTTTTGGTTCTTTGAAGAGCAGTTGAATCATCTCTGGAAACAATGGGATAAACTCGAGCTCTGTTTTCAGAAGTTGCTTGCACCAAACACCAATCACAGCCATTCAAATGATTGAATTGCTTGACATTGCGTAGATAGGCTCGCATGGGTGCATCAGCGATGACTGCTACTAGATGAAAAGTCGATTTGATTTGAATCTTTTCCCAATTTTTCCAAATCAAACCATGTTTTGATAGAGAGACCAATTCGTCAACAATTGGGCCCAAAAAGATCTCCACTGGTGGTTTTTTTCTTCCAACGAATATTCCAACAAGAAAAAAATTCTTTTTCCTAAATTTTTTTGACATTTCATTTACTGTGATGAAAACAGGAAAAATAGAGACGTTTGAACTGTTACCAAGGGCAACCTCGTCTGTATGCAGAGTCAATGTGTATCTTTTTATTCTTTTATCTTTATACGAAGATTTGATTCTTTTTGCTTCAGAAGAACGACAAATGTCTAGCTCACTGAAACAAGATTCATCCCAACACGATTTAGGTAATTGAGGCAATTGATTCATCAATTGCTGCTTTAATTCTAAATGGATAAAATATTTGTCCTGTTTAAGTTGAACGGGGATATCGTTTCCTTGACAATTATATGAGCCAAATCGTTTCGGCTCACCTCTAAAAGGTCCATGTGAATGTTCATTTTCACATAAAACATAGACATTGACAGGATTTGTAGCTGCTTGAAGGTCCCAAAAGTAACGAATATTTGGGAGAAGACTATTGTCACTTCCAAATCTTTTGGTGTAAGCATTGAAAAGATGTGTGATTTTTTCAGCTGAGCTCAAGCTGACACCCGGACATGAAAGTATTGCCAATAAAACACCATGTGAAAAAGAAATTTTATCTGGACTAACACTTGACACTTCATCATCGCCATCAATATCTGGATCACTGTCTTCAATGAGACCAGAAAAGTCAAAGTTGAAAGATTCATTTGATGAGTTAGAATGACGAGATGAAGACGATAGAGATGATTCTTGTGAAGAAGATGAAACGGAAGTTTGAGGCACATTTTCTTGGTGATCACTATTGGGTAGACTATACACATAATCAGAAAATTGATGATGATTTTGCTTCCGTTTACGACGATTGATTGATCGTTTTGATGAACCACTTTCATTCATCTTGAAAGTGAAAACAAATTCACAAATATAATTCAATTGTAAACAAAACGTGTTGATTAAAGAAACTAAACTTATCTTAAAAGGATAAGGAAATCAAATTAATCAAAACCGGAAACAAATCTTATCTGTTTAAGATAAATTCAAATTAAATAAACGCTTATCTTTACCAAGAGATAAAAGAAAACTGAAGATAAGCTTTTATCTTAGAAAAGAACAATTAGTTTAGAATAGAACAAAAATAAAAAAGAATTTAAATGGTTGCTAAGCAACGAGATAAGATTTCCATTAAATTTAAATTCGATTTAATCTCATTTTCTTTTTACCCACGTTTTTGTTAAGTTGTTTAGTTTCTC